CTTGCCCTGCACAGACCAAACCGGGTTCAATCCCTGGCATCCCATATGGTTCCCCCAAACACCTCCAGGAGTAATTCCTGAGTGCAGAGCCAGGAGTAACCCCTGAGCATTACTGGGTGTGACCCCCAAAAGATAAAATTTTTTAAAAAATGACTCTTTACATCGGCATGTCTGGGCAAACAGCTAATTACACAATCTCTTATTTTCTTTTTTCTTGATTTTTAATCCACACCCAGCAATGCTCAGGGCTTACTCCTCTGAGCTCAGGTATCACTTCTGGAGGGCTCAGGAGATCGTGTGGGGTGCAGAAATTGAACCCAAATCAGCCACATGCAAGGCCAGAACTTTCCCCTTTAGCCTCTTCACTTCATTTTCTTATATGAACTTCCCTCCTCTACCTTGGAAGCCCCAGGGCCCTTGCACATTCCTGAATCAAGATGCATGTAGGAAAGGGCTGGAGTGATAGTACAATGGGTAAGGCATTTGCCTTTCATGCAGATGACCAGGGTTCAATACCTGGCATAACTTTATGGTTCCTCCAAGCACCACTAGGAGTGATTCCTGAGTACAGAGCCAGGAAGAACCTCTGAGCATCACTGGGTGTGCCCCCCCCCCCCAAGAAAAATGCATGTAGGGCCAGAGAGATTATACAAGGCTTAGGACAAAGATAGGGCTGGAGCGATAGCACAGCGGGTAGGGCGTCTGCGTTGCACGCAGCCAACATGACCGACCCGAGTTCGATTCCTCCGCCCCTCTCGGAGAGCCCGGCAAGCTACCGAGAGTATTCGATATGCCAGACACAGTAACAACAGAGTCTCCAATGGAGACGTTACTGGGCCCGCTCGAGTAGGACAAAGATATCTTGCTTGCAGCTAATTCTGGTTCAATCCCCCAGGCCCAGTTGGGCATGAATGGAAGGAGAGACCCCACCCAGGGCTGCACGAAAGCAAGGAAATAAATTCACTCTAATCTCAGACCCTTGTGTCTCACCAAATATATAAAATCAAATTTGATTTTCTCCTCTTAATCTGTCTTCTATGGATTTATTAGACCAGTTTAACAAGCCCCACTGGCTGGAGGAAGATTTTTTTCTCCCCATGGCAGCACCATTGAGATTAAGGATATAAAATCAACCCCAGATTCATAATTTTCACACTTTTGCTTCCTATTGCTAACCAAGACTAATCATAATTATGTGAAATTATATAAATTAGCATATGTGATATAAGTAGGCCAATAAATGACCTATTGTTAAAATTAGTGTCTCATTTATGACAAAATAGCCTTTCATTTTTCCAAGGAATTCACATTTTCAGGGGTTGGGGAAAAAGCTTCCCACTAATAGGTCTATAGAAATATAAAAGTGAAAACTTTAGAATCTTGAAAAGCATCAGGCTCTAATTGTTTGAATCCCAAATGTGAGTCCATATTCTCTCTGACCCAGAACATCCAGCTGATATTTAAAATTTAGTCATCAACAGTATTTTCTTTTTGCAAGCTCAATTTTTCTCCAATTCAGTGCACAAAATTGTCTTTCTATAAATTCTTGAAATACAACTGGAACAATTCTCATCATGGTTCCTTCCCCATAGGACATTAATCATCATAAAATGGTTTTGATTGGAAGGACAAAACCGGCCCAATACATAATTAGAACATCGAATAAATTTTGATTAGGAAGATACTTGAAATTCATTTCATTCCAGAGACTGCAGAAAACATTGATTTTTAGCAAAAATACTTTTTCACAAAGACATTCACATGGAATGGTTTCAGAACATAAAGTACTTGAAGTTTTGTCTAACCATCATCAACAATCCATCTCAAGTGGAAGTTGTTATCTATACTTGGCTTTTGGGGGAGTTTTGGACCTCACCCAGCAGTGCTCAGGAACAACTTCTAGCTCCATACCTAGGGGTCTCTCCTGGCCTTTCTTGGGGGACCAGGTAGTTCTGGAATCAAGCTGAGGCCCTGCATCCGAGTATATTCTCAGCCCACTGACTTATCTCTCCGGCCCCCATGTTTGGTAATTGAACCACGTAGCCGGCATCTCACGGTTCTGTCTGTAGATATTTCAGTCTATACTACTAACCAGGACTGGAGCGATAGCACAGCGGGTAGGGCGTTTGCCTTGCACGCAGCCAACATGGCTGACCTGAGTTCGATTCCTGCCCCCCTCTCAGAGAGCCCAGCAAGCTACCGAGAGTATATCGCGCGCAGAGCAAAGCCTGGCAAGCTCCCCATGACGAACTCAATATGCCAAACACAGTAACAACAAAGTCTCACGATGGAGACGTTACCGGGCCTGCTACTGGGCCTGCTCGAGCAAATCGATGAACAACGGGAGGACCGTGACTGTGACTACTAACCAGAACACTTTACAAAAGCAACACAGTGCCAGAGCGATAGTTTAGAGGGGAGGGCATTCGCCTTGCACACGGCCGAATGAGGTTGAACCCCTGGCCCCTCATAGGGTTCCCTGAGCCCCACTGGGAGTGATCCCTGAGTACAGAGCCAGGAGAAAGCCCTGAGCACCGCTTGGGTATGGTTCAAAGTTCAAGAAAAATTAATCAACAACTACAACCTGGGTCGCTGGCACCCAGGTGCGAGTCACTGGGCCTTACTCCTCCATTCCGCTTCTTCCTGATCCTCCCTTGCTGCCAGGTGGGCCAGCAGGTGGCTTACTGGCGAAACACCTGCCTTGCACCTTGAACTCTGAGTTCAGCTCCCGGCACTGTACAAGACCCCAGTTTTGATCCCCTGCACCACGTGGCCCCATGGACAGCTGGTGAATCCCACTGTATGGGTTTTTTTGTTTTGTTTTGTTTTGTTTTGTTTGTTTTGGCTTTTTGGGTCACACCTGGTGAGGCTAAGCAGTTACTCCTGGCTCTGGACTCAGGAATCACTCCTGGTGTGGCTCAGAGAACCCTGTGGGATGCCCGATGTGGGGACTGAACTTGGATCAGCCCTACCCCCTGTACTATTGCTCCGGCCCCTGCCCGTAGCACCCGTGGGTCTGAGGAACAGCGAATGTTGAGCCGACAGACTCACATTGCCAGGTCAGGGAAGCCCAGCAGTGACCGAGGGATCCTGAGCACTGTTTGGAGGCCCCCTCCACACACACACCCCAAACAGCTGAATGAAACCCTGGGGAGATGAGCAGAGAAAAACCTGTAGCACAACTTCCGGTCAGGGAATTCCTCGGCACCTGCCTCACTAGAGATAAGACTTTCTTTATCCCAAAGCATCAACTTATTTATTTATTTTGGGCTTTTGGGTCAAACCAAGAGATGCTCAGGGGTTTCTCCTGGCTCTGCACTCAGGAATTATTCCTGGTGGTGCTTGGGGGACCCTATGGGATGTTGGGGATGAACCCGGGTGGATTGCATGTAAGGCAAATACCCTCCCTGCTGTGCTGTCGTCGCTCCAGCCCTGAATGATTTATTATTCATCTTTTGTTTGGGCTGGAGCGATAGCACAGTGGGTAGGGCGTTTGCCTTGCATGAAGCCGACCCAGGTTTGATTCCTCCACCCCTCTCAGAGAGCCCGGCAAGCTACCAAGAGTATCTCGCCCACACGGCAAAGCCTGGCAAGCTCCCCGTGACGTATTTGATATGCCATAAACAGTAACAACAAGTCTCACAATTTGTTGTGAGACGTTACTGGTGCCCGCTCGAGCAGATCTATGAACTACGGGAGGAGAGTGCTACAGCGCTAATCTTTTTGTTTGGGTGGGAGTCACACCTGGAAGTTCTCAGGGCTTACTCCTGGCTCTATGTTCAGGGATCACTCCTGATGGGGCTCAGGGGACCCTGTGCAGTGCTAGGGATTGAACCCAGGTTAGCTGCTTGAAGGCTACCTGTTAAGCTATCTCTGTGGCCCCAGAGACCTTTGTAGAGAAACGAGCGTTCAGGGCCCTGCATGACTGCCATGCCAGCCAGCAGTCAGGGTGAGGCGTAACAGCAGGATGTGGTCAGGGAAAGCCACCTGGGGAAAGGAACTGAGGGGGAATCCAGGTGAGACCTTCATGGCCAGCCAGCAGAGACTTGGGACAGTCTGGGCTCTGACGGATGGGCCCTCGAAACCCCTTCCTGCACGGGCTAGAGGTATGACAAGCAGGCGCCAAGGAGGGCATGGGGTTCCACCAGGCTGAGGGAAGGGTGGTCCAAGAGGACAGAGGGGGGTCTCTGCGAGAACCCAAAACCTGGCCTGGGAGGTGGAGAGGAAGGTGGAGGCGGCCGCGGCTGCAGGTCTGAAGGGGAGTCTGAGGGTGCTCGGCCGTGGAGACTCACCTTCCGTCTGTGGGGTGGGGGTTCGATCTGTGGCGTCACTCCCCAGGAAAACTCTCCTGTGAAAGTGGAAAGTTGAAGAACAAAACTGACTTCTCTCTCTCCAGGGAATCAGCGAGGCAATTCCTGAGAGTGGGATTTAGGGGTTCCGGGAGAGGATCTCCGTGTTTTATTTTATTTCTGGGTTGCTTAGGCTGGGGGGCCACACCTGGCTGTGTCCGGGGGACTCCATGTGGTCCCCGGGGTCTACCGGGGCCAACCGTGCGCCAGGCAAGTGCTTTAACCCCTGGACTCTCTCTGGGGCCCCTGGGGCCCGTCCAAGAGGCGGGTCCGCTTCAGGACTGGGGGGTGGAGGGGCGCTCGCAGTTTCCAGCCCCTCCGGGGGTCCCGGGCCCGGCTCAGTGGCCCCTCGGGGCCGGCCGTGATTGTAGGAGGCTCACAATGCAATGCCAAGCCAGGGGGCACGGGCGCGGGACACGCCCCAGCCCCCCGCGCCGCACTCCGCGGGGACCCCCAGGCTGCAGTGCGCGGCCCCGGCGCGCGCAGGTGGCGGTGTCGCCCTGCGCCCCACGTGCGCGCGGCCCGGCCCGCCGGTCAGTGTGCAGGTACGCGGTCGAGGGACACCGCGGCCCCGCGCCCCCGCGCCCCCGTCCCGCCCCACCCCGCGCACCCCGCGCTCCGCGGCGTCCAGCGGCGTCCAGCGGCGGCAGCATGGGGCTCTGCCGGCGTCGGCTCACCTGGTTGCTGCTCCTGCTGGCCGTCATCGCGGGGACCCTCCTGTCCCGGTACCCCGCGGCCCTGCGCGTGGACTCGGAGCCCCGGGCGGGAGTCAGGTAGGGGCCGCGGCGGGCGGGGGCGACCCCTCGGGCTTCTCCGGGCTGAAGGCGTCCTGGGTCCCCGTCTCTGCCGCAGCTCCAAGGGGCCCCACCCCGCCCACGCTCAGGGCACCCACCATCCCCATCGGGGTCACCTCTAGGGTCCAGATGCGGCGGGTCTGGAGTCAGAGCGACGTTCAGCGGCGAGGGCCCTTGCCTTTCCAGTTACCCACCCAGGCTCCGTCCTGGGCACCCTCTAGGGCCCCCCAGCCCACCAGGAGTGGCCCCTGAGTACAGAGCCAGGAGTAAGCCCTGAGCACCGCAGGGTGTGACTCCCAAACCCGCAGATCTGGTGGGTTCTCTTTTTCTCCCCCGATGTGTCTGGAACTTGTCATATCTGCCGAACTCTGGGGCGGTCCCTGGCGGGTCACTGCCCTTTCCACTGACTCTGCTGTTTATTCTGAGAAGCTCCATGGGAGCCCCTGCCAGGAGGGGGTGAGCCCAGGGTCCCGGCCCACCCCGAGGTGCCGGCAGCTCCCCCAGAAGCAGCCCCGCCCACCCCCTGCCGCTGTACCCAGGAGTGAACCCTGATGGTGATTCCAATAACTGAAGGAGTTCGGCTTTACTTCTGGAGTGCCTGGATTTGGGGGGCTGGAAGGGCACCCGCGGTCCGGCCAGCCCTTCCCACCTAACCTTACCCCACAGACAGGATGAAAGGAGCCTGAGAACAGCTTTCGGGAGAAGCTGCTCTAGATGCAGAACCAGGGAGAGGCTGTTGAGGGATGAAGGCGCCAGCCTTGCACCCTGACCCACCTGCACCCCCCTCCCATCCCCCAACTTCAGATCACTGGTGCCTCAGCATATGATCCCAGAGGTCGAGTCCCGAGAAGTTGGAAAACCAGTGAGCCCAGATGGCTCATCAGCCCGACTGTGTGTGTGTCTGTGTGTGTGTCTGTGTGTGTTGGGGGGGGGGTCCTCCACTTCTTACAGTCAGAAGGTGTGAACCTGCTTGCAGCCACATCCACTCTACCTCACAATGGGTTTTTGGTGTTTGTTTGGTTGGTTAGTTTTTGCTTTTTGGGTCACACCTAGTGATGCTCAGGGATTACTCCTGGTTCTACATTTAGGAATTACTCCTAGACCCTTTGCATTGCCGGGAATTGAACCCGGTCAGCCACGTGCCAGGCAAACGCCATCCCTGTTCTGCTGTGACTCTGGCCCTGGTGTTTGGTTTTTCCTTCGGGGGTGCCCCGAGCAGTACCCAGGGCCTAGTCCTGGCTTGGCTTAGAGAAGCGGGGAGAGTGGCCGGGTCACTGATGGAACAAACGTGTGGCTCTGGCCAGGACACGTCCCCTCAAACCTGGCTGCGCTTATTTCTTCCTTCAGAATTTGTTTTGTTCTGGACCATTCCTGGAAGCTCATGCTGTCCCTGGGCCACTGCCGGCAGGGGACCACTGCAGGTGGCATTAAGGGGACTACTGGATGGACCTGGCCCCTAGCCCCCCAGCTGATGGCTGCCCTGCCCATACACCCTGTCCAGGCGTGCAAAACCCCCAGGGGCTGCGCCCAGGCGCCCAGCCAGTGTTCCCGGAAGCCCCTGCTCTGTCACCAGCCCCTCTAGGATCAGGACCGGTCCAGGCAGGTGCCAGTCCTGTGTCCCCATCCCCACCCATCCCACACCTGGAGGTAGATAACAAAAGGTCATTGTTCCCTCACAAGCTGCTAAGCCCAACTCCCCTCACACACACACCCTTCCCCCGCCCCCCCCCCCCCCCCGCCACATCTGCCTCGGGATACTTGGGGCCACCAAGCCCCATTAGGGTGGCCTCTCCCCTCTGTCTGCCCTGATGCTGGGGCTACATGGTGGAGGAGGGGGTCGTAGGGGGTGGGCATTAACCCCTTGCATCCCTCCAGAATAGGTGCTGGGAATAACCAACTACCACCTTTCATGACAACTTGTTTTGGGGAACCCTTGGCAGTGCCAGGGACCAAAGCCAAGGCTCCTCCACAGGGCACTGCCCAGCCCCAATGCCCACCTTAGCCCCGGCCATCTTCAGCTTCTTCCCCTCATGACTTTGTGCCGAGAAAGGCCAACAGGTGAGCCGCTGCCAGAAACACCTCAGAACGGAGGGCACTGGCCTTGCATGCGGTCCACCTGGGTTCGATCCTCGGCACACCGCTGAGCCACTGTGCACGTGTGACCCCTGAGTGCAGAGCCAGAGTAACCCCCAAGCATCACCGGGTGCGACCCCAAAACCAAAAAAAGAAAAAAAAAGAAAAGTGGCAGGAACACCTCGGGTTGTGCCATGTTGATTTTGAGACAGGGATGAATGACGTGCGACTGTCCCCATGTTTGTTTTTCTGCAGCCTGACCTCCGGGCATGTGACCCCCCAGTTTCAGGCACTGGCGGTGAGGGAAGCTTTGGATGAGACCCAGCAGAGTTTCTGGGCCTCCCTCCGTTCCCAGCCGTGGCTGCCACGGGGTGGGATTCTCAACGCCAGGGCCCGGATCCAGCCTGGGGAGTCAGGCTGCAGACGCTGCCCATTAACCATGGCCCAGGGGTGGGGAGGAGCGGCAGGAGGACCCCCCAGGTGAAGGGCCGCCGGATGGAGTGCTGGCTGCGGCTGGGTGTTCCACCGTATCCCTGGCGACTGCTGCTCCCCAGGGTCGGGGGTCCTGGGTGGACCCCGTGAGCACGCGCCAAGCCTGCAGAGAAGCCCACTGGAATTCTGGGAGCACGTGGCTGCAGAGCGGTCAGTCCTTCCCACCGATCCCACCTTCTCACTGCCCCCAGGAGCTCTCTGTCTACCCGTGTACTCGCTGAACCAATGCAGTGGACTTCCTGGACTGGAAAGGTACCTGGGGGCCACATGGGGCGGGGGGGGGAGCGAGGACAAAGACTATTGCCCCCCAGGCCTGCTGAGACCTGTCCACTCGGCTTCCTGCACCCCAACAGCTGGAGGTGATCCAGGCACTCCAGGCCAGCTGCAGAGCTCCTAGAAGTTTCCAGATGTTCAGATGTAGCACTGTAGCACTGTTGCACTGTCTTCCTGTTGTTCATTGATTTGCTCGACCGGGCACCAGTAATGTCTCCATTGTGAGACTTGTTTCTGGCATATCGAATATAACACAGCGGTACGGCGTTTGCCTTGCACGCAGCCAACATGGCCGACCCGAGTTCGATTCCTCCGCCCCTCTTGGAGAGCCTGGCAAGCTACCGAGAGTATCTTGCCCGCACGGCGGGGCCTGGCAAGCTCCCCGTGACGTATTCGATATGCCAGACACAGTAACGACAAAGTCTCCAATGGAGACGTTACTGGGCCCGCTCGAGAAAATCGATGATCAATGGGAGGGCCTTTACTTTTACTTTACTTATATCGAATATGCCCCTGGAAGCTTGCCAGGCTCTGCTGTGCGGGCAGGATACTGTCGGTAGCTTGCCGGGCTCTCCGAGAGGGACGGAGGAATCGAACCTGGGTCGGCTGCATGCAAGGCAAATGCCCTACCCGCTGTGCTATTACTCCAGCCCTTAATAAAGATACATCTGTAAAGATACAGATGTATCTTTATTATTATTAATATTATTATTTTAGCTTGGGCCACACCCTGCGGTGCTCAGGGCTGGCTCCTGGCTCTGCAGCAGGAATCACTCACGGTGGGATTTGGGGGGACCCTGTGGGATGCCAGGGATCGAACCTGAGCCGGGCACTTGCAAGGTCAGAGTCCTTCCCACTGTTCCTATCGCTCCAGGTTTTGGTTTTTGAGTCACACGTATTGGATGTGCAGGGGTCCCCTGCATAGTGTCGCAGGGATTAAAGTTGGGTGGGTGTGTCCAGGTCCCCTCCCTGCTGTCCTGTCTCTTGGCCCCTGAGAGATGGATCTTAAGCAGGCTGGAGTGATAGTACAGCGGGCAGGGCATTTGCCTTGCATGCAGCCAACCCAGGTTCGATTCCCGGAATCCCATATGGTCCCCCAAGCGCCGCCAGGAGTAATTCCTGAGTGCAGAGCCAGGAGTAAGCCCTGTGCATCGCCAGGTGTGAAAAGAAGAAGAAGAAGAAGAAGAAGATGGATCTTACAGGCCCAGAAATATCTTACTACCTAATCCTTTATCAGGATTTATCCTTTATCTAACACCAGGGAAGGTGTTAGAACCTCCATCCTGGGATACCTCTAACGGACGCGCCATCCCAACCTCCTGACTCGGCTGCTTTCCCTAAACACCCCAAAGAGCTGAGACGAGGAAAGTGAGGTGCAGAGAGGCCAAACCCCAGAGGGCACGGGACAGGGGTCGCGGAGTCTCTGCCTGAAACTCCGGCTGCACCCGCTCAGCCACAGCAGAGGCCTGAGAGTTTTGGGGAGATGGGGATTTGACAGGAGTGGTCAGGGCCAGAGAGATAATACAGAGGATCCCCAGAAGCCCATGGGATCCACTGAAACCCTGCCAGAAGTGATCCCTGAGGGCAGAGCCAGGTGTAAGCCCGGAGCACCATCGGGGGTGGCCCAAGTTTTTATTTTTAATGGTTTGAGAGTGTGGGGAACAGCTGGAGGCATAGAGCCCACGGGCTTGGCCCGAGGGCACAACTTTGACCCTGAGTCCCACCCACGCTTGCATCCGCATCATTGCTGGGGAAAGCAGGCCCTGGTGGAGGGTCAGAGATAGGGGCAATGTCGGGGGGCACCACTGCAGCCCCATGCGGGCCATCCCTAGCAAGGGTGTCAGGGTGAGGATTTGGGTCCAGGCTGACAGGGCGCCCAGGGCGGGGTGGGGATGTCCTGCCACTCAAGGGCAGAGCAGTCAGACCCACGCGCTGGGGAACGTGCCCCAGAGAGACGCCAGCTGTGAAATGAGTCACAGGCCAGGATTCTGGGGCCCTTCCAAAGAAGGACTTGCTTGCGGGCTGGAGCGTAGCACAGCAGGGAGAGCGCTGACCTTTCACGCAGCTGACCCGGGTTCGATTCCCAGTATCCCATATGGTCGCCCTAGCACTGCCGGGAGTGATTCCTGAGTGCAGAGCCAGGAGGAACCCCTGAGCATCGCCAGGTGTGACCCAAAAAGAAAAAAAAAAAGAGGACTGGCTCAGGAAGTCTAGAAAGTTTTCCGAGGCCCTCCCCACAACCCAGGTAGGTGCGAGGGTCTAGGGGTGTCTGGCCCCGGAGGCCCCGAGTCTGACCCTCTCCTCCCCGTCAAGCCCTGCCGGCGCTCGGTGCGTGGGGCCGTTCAGCAGCACCCGCGTTTCCAGAGGCTCTTCAACCTCTCTGCCCCGGTGCTGCTCTCGGAGGACCTCCTCACCCCAGAGCTCTGGGCCAGACTGAGCCAGCGCAAAGCCCCCTACGGCTGGCAGGGGCTCTCCCAGCAAGGTGACTGTGCCTCTGACCTTGACCTCTGACCTTCCCGCCCCGCCTCCTGCTCTCAGCCCCGCTACCCTCACCACACGGGTGTGGACCCCAACCCTGTGCACGTCTCTCCAGGACAGCCTGAGGGGTCCGTGGGGCTCCGGGGCGCCCCCTCCCAGCATTCTCATCACCTTGGGGCCCCCTGGCATGGAGAAGCCCACCTCCAAAGGTGACCCCGCCGGCCGAGGCGTGTGGGACCCCCCACTGCCCTCTGCGATCCCATCTGGTCCCTGGGGCTGTCTCCCACGCCCCCTGACTCCCCTTCCCGGTCCCCTCAGTCATCACCTCGACCCTCAGCCTTCTGAAAGGCTCCGACGGCACGGAGCTATTTGGGGGTCGCTGGAGACAGCGCCCCCGCTGCGTTCGTTGTGCCGTGGTGGGCAACGGGGGGATTTTGAACGGCTCCCGCCAGGGGCTGAACATCGACGCCCACGACTTTGTCTTCAGGTACATGGAGCTGGGCGGGGGGGGGGGGGGGGGGACACACTCTGCCCCCGGGGGACGCCCCACCCCGGGGAGGCCTAATTCATGAGGTGGACTTGGGGAGCTGGGAAGGGGTCCCGGGAGAACTGCAGCGGGCTGGGGGGAGTTGGGGTGGTGGCCCCCAGCAAGGAGGCGGCTTGTCGGAGCAGGCTCAATGGCGCCGTGATCAGAGGCTTCGAGCAGGACGTGGGCACCAGAACCTCCTTCTACGGCTTCACAGTCAACACCCTCAAGAACTCCCTCCTGGCCTACAGGAGCCTGGGCTTCACCTCCGTGCCCCAGGGGCAGGTGCGGCCGTCCGGGTTGGTTCAGGGTCTGGGACCGGAGAGGAGACAGGCCAGATAGGAGTGGGAGCAGCTGAGCCCCCAGAAGCTGGGTGCACCCCAGCCCAGGCCAGGCCTGCCCTGTGACACCTACATCACCTGAGCTCATACTGGACCCAGGGAGGGCATCTGGGTACCCCTCGCTCCCGGGCATGGCCACGGTCAGCACAGAAGCCCCCACTGGGATATGGGAACTGAGACCCTTGACTCGAGTATTTGGCTGTTTCCAAATCCCCCCGAAAAAGAAATGTGTGGGGCTGGAGCAACAGCACAGCGGGGGTCCCTGGAGACAGCGCCCCCCGCTGCATTCGTCGTGCTTGGCAATGCGGCTGACCCGGGTTCAATTCCCAGCATCACAGAGGGTCCCCTGAGCACCGCCAGGAGTAATTCCCGAGTGCAGAGCCAGGAGTAACCCCTGAGCATCGCCGGGTGTGACACAAAAAGCTAAAAAAGAAAAATGGGTGTCCCCGAGCCCTCCCTGCACAGGCCGGGGACTGGAGGGGCGGGTGGCCAGAACTGGGGTCTGCCTGCTGGCTCCCAGTGAGGTAAAGGTAAAGGTAAAGGCCCTCCCGTTGATCGTCGATTTGCTCGAGCGGGCCCAGTAACGTCTCCATTGGAGACTTTGTTGTTACTGTGTCTGGCATATCGAATACTCTTGGTAGCTTGCCGGGCTCTCCAAGAGGGGCAGAGGAATCGAACTCGGGTCGGCCATGTTGGCCGCTTGTAAGGCGAACGCCCTACCCGCTGTGCTATCGCTCCAGCCCAGTCACACCCAACTGCTTCCTCAGGAGCCTCTGGAAGACCCCAGGATAAGGGTCCATGGGCCTCAGAGGCTGGCGTGGTCTCCAGAAACTTCCTCCTAATGCAGAGTCCAGGAGTCCATGGGGCACCCGAGTCATGGCCTGCCTGCCATGTGGCCCCGGTACCCGCCTGAGTTAGCAATCACTGCCGTGTGGGTCCCCCCACACGGCAAATGTTGATTATCAGGCAGTTTCAGGGGTCGGGAATGTTGGGGGAAGCTTAGCTGAGTTTGTTTGTTTTTTGGGTCACACCCTGGCGATGCTCAGGGGTTATTCCTGGCTTTGCACTTAGGAATCACTCCCGGCGGTGCTCGGGGGACCATATGGAATGCTGGGAATCGAACCTGGGTCAGCCGCGTGCAATGCAAAAGTCCTACCCGCTGTGCTAGTGCTCCAGCCCATGAGTGGTTTTTGTTTTGTTGTCACACTCAACAGTGCTCGGGATCACTCTTGGCTCTGTGTTCAGGGATCACTCCTGGTGGGGCTCAGGGGACCATATGGGGGGCCGGGGATCAAACCCAATGAGCCGCGTGCAAGCGCCCTCCCCGCTGTGCTATCGCTCTGGCCCCCTTAGCCGAGTTTTAGCTCAGGGCCCGCCTCTCATGACTTGGTCATTTGAAGGCCTGGGGGTCTGTGTGGGACAGCCGAGACCTAGGGCTTGTCCAGCTCGCCCGATGCTGCTGCTTCTCTTGTGTCAGACGGGAGATACTCTCCTGCCGACTCAGCGCAGGGCCAGCACCTGCCAGCTCACCCGGACCCTGGAGGTCCGTGGGTGCTCCAGGCAGACGGGACAGTCAGCTGGAGGCCCCCTGCAGCTCCGGGCTGAGAGCAGAGGGGCGGCCCTTACTACGGACCCTGCCCGTGGCCGTCTGGCCCAAGAGCCCGTGTGTGGCCCCTCCAGGACCTGCGCTACATCTTCATCCCCTCCGGCATCCGCGACTACGTGATGCTCAGGTCAGCCCTTCTGGGAGAAGAGGTCCCCGAGGGCCATGACAAAGGGGACAGGTGAGCGGGGTGGGGCCCCCAGGGACAGCCTCTGATGGGACGCCGGGGACCCCGCCCCCGCTCTGACCCAACAAAGGGCCCCCAGCTGGTCATCGGGGCCCTTTGTGACCCAGGCAGGCCTGACGCCGGGGGAGGGGGCTCCCGAGGAACATCAGGTGGACCTACACCTCCCAACACCAATGAGCTCCCCCTCCCGCACCCCTAATCCGTCCCCCACCCAGTCCCCCTCCCAGTCCCGCTCCAACCAGGTGGCCCCGTCGGGCAGCCAGCAGGGCTACCGCTCGGGCTCCGCCCCCTCCCCGTCCCCCACGCGGGGGGGCTCGTCCCGCGGCCCCACCCCCAACGCCTCCCAGCCGTCCTCCCGGGCGTCCTCCCTGGCCCCCAGCCCGCACGTGCAGCATGTCCCGCGGAGGTCCTCGGGCCAGGGCCCCACCCCGCCCACCTCCAAGTCGCCCTCCCAGTCCGGCTTCAAGGTGCTGTCCCGGAACCCGTCGCTGACACCCGCGGGCCTCACGCGGTCCTCCACCTACTTCGGCCCCATCCCCTCCACCACCTACATCGGGCCGGTGCGGGCCATCCCCTCCCAGATCGCCCCCTACGTGCCCCGCTTCCTGAAGGAGCCCCCCTTCTTCCAGCCGCCGACGTCCCAGCTGCCCCAGAACGGCTGCTTCCCCTGCCCCTTCCCGTGCCAGGAGGAGCGGGCCGAGCGCCAGCGCCCGCGGCCCCCCGACTCCCTCTACTTCCCCCTGCTGCCGCCCCCCCCACACCTGCCCCAGGTGCGCAGCAGCTTCCCCACGCCACCGGCCCTCTTCACGCCGCCCTCCTCGCTCTCCTACACGCTGCCCACCGACGTGCTGGTGAGCGGGAAGCCGCACGTGGTGCCCACCTCGCTGCCCGCCACCTTCTACACGCCCTTCTCCCGCTTCTACACCCACCCGCGCCCGCGCCGCACCCGGCGGCTGCTCAGCCCCCTGCCGGGCTCCCTGTCCCTCCCGCCCGCCGTCCAGAGCCAACTGGACGGGATCGGCCGCTCTGTCCACTTCTTCCGCGACTCGTAGGCCTCAGAAGTACTTCGGACCGGACGCCTCTGCCGGCAAGTTCAAATTGCTCCATCCCGACTTCATCAGCTACCTGACCGAGAGGTACCTGCCGGCCGGGTCCCCCCCCACCCCGCAGTGGCAGATGCTTCTGTGGCACAGGCCAGGAGGGAGACCCTCAGGGCTGTCCCCTCCATCCCGCATCCTAAGGGTGTCCACCTGGAGATGCTCTGGGCTCCCAGTCCACGATGGGCGGATACCACAGGTCACCCCCAGGCCCTACACAGCAGTGAGGCTCCCGCAGGTGGCGGGCAGGGGGCTGGGAACCCGTACCCGGTTCCCAACCTTCTGGACTCCAGGCACCACAGGGCACGGGCACTGCCCGCCTGGTCTCCCGTGGCCCCGTCTGAGGGTGTGACAAGGGGTCTGGGTCTCGGGCTGTCCTGGGGTGAGGCCAAGTGGAGGGGTCCCGGGGAGTGGGCAAGAGGGCAGGATTGCCCGGTGTCGCGTCTGTCCCCGACTTCCGCTCAGGTATTCGCTGCACCCCAGGCCAGCAGCCGGGGTGTGTGGGGGGAATGTAGGGAGGAAGGCCAGAAGGGCCCTGGCGGCCACCCAGCCCCGCTGCCTCTCTGCTCGCAGGTTTTTGAAATCCAAGTTCATCAAGACAAAATTTGGGAACCTGTATATGCCTAGCACGGGGGCCCTCATGCTGCTCACAGCTCTGCACACCTGTGACCAGGTAAGCGCTCAGGGACACCCTCAAAGGCCAGTGCGTCACTTGCTCCCCTCTGGGGCTCCCGAACCAGCTCTGCCGTCCCCACAGCTCGGCAGCCACTGGTCACACCACCACCCTGGGCAAATGTCCGTCTCGGCAGAACTGTGTTCTGTCTTTCCCAGCCTCCGAGGTCCTGCCCCCTAACAGCTGGTTAGGAGGGAAGTTGGCTGGGTCTTTTGTTAAGTTTTTGGTGTTTGGGTCACACTCAGCAGTGCTCAGGGGTCACTGGCAGAGCTGGGGTACCTTGGGGGGCGTTGGGGTCGCCATGTGCAAGGCAGACGCCTTGTCCTCTGAACTATCAGGCCCCAGGGGCGGGCATCGAGGCAAGGCTTGGTGGGCTTTCCCTGTCACACCTCAGGGGGCTGGGGTCAGGAGGCAGGTCAGGGCCATGTGCTCTGCCCTGTCCAGGTCAGTGCCTACGGATTCATCACAAGCAACTACAAGAAGTTTTCTGACCACTACTTTGAGCGCGTCAGGAAGCCGCTGGTTTTCTACGTGAACCACGACCTGTCCCTGGAGGCCACGCTGTGGAAGTCCCTGCACGAGGCAGGCATCCTTTGGCTGTACCAGCGCTGAGCCCGCCGGGGTCCCTGCAGCCCAGTGACCAGGACTGCCCATCCTGCCCCAGGCAGAAACCGCCCAGACAGAGGCAGGGTGACACCACTTGAGGGACCAAGTCTTAACACGACCCAGTGCGACCCACAGCTGGTGCCAAGGGACTTTAGGGATGCCAGCGGGCACCCTGAGGTCACAGAGTTCCAGAGGGACACACGCGCTCCAGCCTGAACACCTTGTAGCGCATATCCAACCCCCAACTTTAGGACTCAGCCCGGCAGAATTTCCGGGAGAACAGACACCTGCTGTCAGCTGAAGCCCAGAGGCCAGTAAGTTCGATGCTAAGCGGCTGCATAAATAACCACAGCGGAAAGGGTAGAAGCATGTCTCATTGTTTGTGGCGGGGACCAACTAGGGATGGTGCCTAATGGGGGGAGTTCAGGGCTCTGCAATGTGGAGAGGCAAAGGAGGGCGGCCAGGCTTCGTCAGAGATGTGTGTGTGGTTGTTAGGTGAACCCTCGGATTCCCATCACAAGTGATGGGCCGGATGTCATGACCTTTCCCGCGGCAGGAAGCGTCCGCAGTCAACCCTGAACACACCCTGGATTTACTGTTCCAGGGGTGGATGCCGCAGTGGCACTGGGCCACGGTCCCAGCAGCAGCCCTGGAGGAACTGTTGCTTCCTCCAGGGGACTTGGCAGTTTGGTCCCTGGCAGGACAAGGCTCTCCACAAGCTACCTGTGCCGGGCTGCCTGTACGTAACTGGCACAAAGGCCAGAGCCATGTGGGGGAGTTGGGAAGGGTCTCGCAGGAACCCTGGACAGGACCAGCACCCCAGCAATCCCACCCCTCACCCACATTCCCGTCACCCTATTTCCAAGGGATCCAAGAGCCTTTGGTGGGTGGCAAGACCCAGAGTGACCCTCACGCAGATGTGATCCCCAGCACCCCAGGTGGTCTCCCAGACCCCGCCAGGAATGAGCCCTGAGCACTGCTGGATGGGACCCAAAAGAGGAAAAAAAACAACAAACCACTGACACTTTGTGTCCTCAGGACACTGCAGTGAAGGCTGGAGATGAGGTTCCGGTCACTCGACATGATGTCTATGCACTGGCAGAAAGCTGAGACCCACAACAGGCCTTTAAACCATTTATTCGCGTTTCAGAGAAAACCCCCAGCCAGTTCCCCGCCATCAGAGGTCGCCAACAGTTCTGGGGAGTCTGGGACTAGCCCAGCCCAGGGCTGCGGCGATGGGATTCTGAGCGTCCTTGGTCACAACCTCATTTCTGGAGCCGCTGGAGTCTGTCGCCGGGCCTGGGGGTACGACAGTCAGGACAGAGGGAGATGGTCTGGGAGCCGAGTAACCGGTGCAGCACGTGGTGCCCACCTGAGCCGAGAGAAACCCAAAGGCGCGAGGGCTGAGAGGCCGCCTCGGACCAGGGGGTTTACCCTGTATCTGACCCCCCTAACCCTCAAGCGTACTCTAACTTTTTTAGCTTTTTGGGGTCACACCCAGAGGTTACTCTTGGCGATGCTCAGGGAACCATATAGGAGGCCGGGAATAGAACACGGGTCAGCTGCGTGCAAGGCAAATGTGTCCCCTCTGCTGTGTTGTCGCTCCAATCCCTACACTTTGTCTTTTGAGCTACACCCAATGGTGCTCAGAGCTCCAGAGACGGACCCCAGGAGCCGCCCGCCCCCTCCTGCGCCCCTCCCCCCAGCGGCTCCCCTTGCAGGTCACAGGCTACTGGCCTCAGAATACCCCTCGCAGAGCTTTCTAGGTGACCAAAATATTCAGCCGCAGCTAGAAATACCCCTTCTGTGAATGTCAACAGAAACAAAGGCATCTGTGTCCACGCGGAGCCTGGCACGTGGGCAAAGCCAGACCCTGCCCTGCCCAGGGACACTCTGTTGGCAGCCGAGTCTTCCAGAAGGAGCGAGACGCGTGTGTCCAGCCCCAGGACCACTAAATTCTGCCAAGACCAGGCAGGAGGACAGAAAACCGAGCCACGGTTCACTGACGCCCATCAGGATGCCTGCAGCCAACCCGGCAGCCCACCACAAGACCCCTCAGAGCACGACCCCAGGCCAGAGCAATAGCACAGGAGGGAGGGTGTCTGCCTTGCACACAAGGCAGCCTGGGTTTAATCCCGGGTGATCCCTGACCACCGCTGGGTTTGGCACCCCCACCGCCCCGCAATGTGGAACCCCTCGGCCACTTGCCTGCCAAGCCCCCAGCCTCAGACCATGGTTTTCCCTCAGGCAAGAAACTCAGACAGGGATAACGAACCATCATCGGCTGGGGCACTGTCAGGGCAGCTGGGGGCAGGGACCCGCCCAGGAGGTGTCCCCCCACTTACTGGGTCCAGGCCACCGGTGCGCCTGCATCTTCCGGAGCAGCTGCTTCTGCCAGGAACAGGGTCAGGCCTGGATCGGGGAAATGACACAAAGCCCCACTCATGCCGTGCTGGCCTCAGACGGAGCCAAAATGTCAGGCCAGGCCCGGAGCTGAGCGTCAGTCACACAATATCCACACAGAAGGCCGCTGCCTTCAGACAGGGATAACGCATCATCACAGCTCAGGGCTGACGAGGAAACTGCCTTGCAGGTGGCTGGCCACAGGCTCATGTGCTCATGTCCCCTGAGCACTGCGGGGGAGGCCTCGAAATGAAACCAAAGCAGGGCAGGGCCTGCCCGCCTGCAGCAGGAGCCTGACCAGGAGGAGAGGACCAGCATCTGCGAGCCCCGCACCAGGGGTGCTGCTCCCCAGGAAACAGGCGCGCCGCCCAAACAGGAGCACTTGCGGCAGAGTCCAGGCAGGCCATGCGGGTGGTTCTCATGCATGTGAGGTGTTCACTGCCAGGACGGGGCCAGTCGTCCACACGTGCTGGGAGGTGGGGCAGCCGTACTGTGCAGGACATTTGGCCCCAGCCGCGCACTGCCACCACTCCCAGCCCCCACTCAGAACCACGACAGCAGGCAGGGGCTCAACAACAGCCCAAGAAGAAGGTGAATGCTCAAAGAACTGAAACGGGGTGCCTGCCTTGCATGCAGTGGACCTGGGTGGGTCGGATCCCTGGCACCTCGTAAGGTCCCCACCATGAAGTAATCCCTGAAGGGGGCCGATGTGGCCCCCAAACCTTAAAAAACAAAAAAACCCTAAAGGCCCTAAGAGTGGCTGTAGTTAGCATAGCACACTAGGCAGGGCATTTGCCTTGTACACAACTGACCTGGGTTCGATCCCCTCCTCCTTGTATAGCTCCCTCACCACAAGAAGTAACTACTGCGTGGAATCAGGAATAAGCCCTGGCCACCAGGTGTGGCCTTCTCCCAGCCAAAAATCATTAGCTAAGTTGAAGATGGGGCCAAAGCAGAGCAGGGAGGGCGTCTGCCTTGCATGCCAGTGACCCGGATTTGATCCCCAGCCCTGCTTTGTATTTCCCAAACCCCAAGCCAGGAGTAACTCCTGAGCGTTGCTGGGAGTGACCCAAAAGCAAAATAAACAACTGGGTGGCAGAACAAACTTTCAAGCTCATTAAATTTTTTTCAGGGGGGGGGAGAGGAGGGGGGTTTGAGGGGCGGGGAAGGAACACTCCCAAGCAGTGTTCAGGGGCACATCCCAGCAATGACAAGCTGGACGGCTCTATGCTGGGGTCTCAGGTGCAGGGGTGGGGGCATTTGGTGGCACGGAATGAACCAGAGCCAGGCACGCCCCTGACACCTGCGCCACCTCGCCAGCCTTGATCTCAGCTAACTGTTCCCGACCACGCCTTACGGGGCTCAGGCCATGCAGATCCCGGAACCAGCCCTGGACGCTAGCACAGGAGGCCCGCATAGGGTGTGTCTCCCCAGCACAGGGAGGGAAACACTGACCCACAGGCCACTCTGAGAACAGCTGCTGTGTGAGGGGCCCGGGAGAGCATCCCCGTCACATCCCTTACAGGAGGCAAGTCACCGGGAGCTGTTGCCCAGACCAACGTGGCACGGGATCACAGCCTGTGCCCGAGCTGGGAATCTCACCCTCAGGGAGTGCAGCGTGAAGAGCTTCCCATTTGGCGTCTTAGGATGACAGCGCTCCCATGGCAGTCCCTGAAGTCTGCACCCACCTTTTATCTGAAAGAGCAAACGTGAGCAACGTTGGGGCCGGATCAATAGCACAGCAGGGAGGGCAATTTGCCTTGCACGCGGCCGACCTGGGTTTAATTCCCAGCACCCCACATGGTCCCCCGAGTACCGCCAGGAGTGATTCCTGAGCGCATGAGCCAGGAGTAACCCCTGTGCATCGCCAGGTGTGACCCAAAAAGCTAAATAAATAAATACATTGTTTAAAAAAAAAGAAAACGGTGAGCAACGCACTTCTGTAGAGTCAGGCGGGTGCTGACCCAGAACCTCGGCAATTCAGTTTCTCACAAAAGGTGCCCCCTGCCGGACAGCTCCCCCAGTGCGCCCACTGGCCGGCATTTCTAGAACCCAGAACCCGCAACACAACTCCCAGTCTCCACCATCAACCCCGGGCAAGGGCAGCAGCCATTTCCGATGCAAACACTGACACCTAGTGGCCACCACTCAGTTCCCTGAACTGGTCTCGGGTGTCAGAGGGGCATACGGTAGGCCTTGCCACCCTCCTGCCCTGGTCAACACCCATACCTGGCCTGTACCCATTCGTACTCATTTGGGGGCTCTAGTCCTGACTGGAGGGTGGGGGAATTCAGGACTGTGAATCTTAAGGGGGGGGGGGGGGGGTGTAGCAGCGACCCCTGGTGGCGCTCGGGAAAACATACACAGTGATGGGGATTTCAACCAGGCTCCACCTAAGAGGCCCACTGTAAGGAAAGTACTTACCTCCCAGGCCCATTATTGGTTCCTCCTTAAACCTGCAGGTCTGCTCCTCACCGCCAATGTCTGCCAATGTCACTTGCGGGAGAAAAGCATAACGTTAACCCGAGGCTCACTGTATAACTAGTTCTCCATCACCCCACAGATCACCATGTGATGAATTGAGATTGAAAGCCAGTGACCCAGGCCGGAACGCCAGGACACGGGAGGGCACTTGCTTTGCAAGTGGCTGACCCGGGTTCGATTCCCAGCATCCCCACACGGTGCCCGAGCACTGCCAGGAGTAACTCCTGAGTGAGAGCCAGGAGTAACCCCAGAGCAACTCCGAGTGTGGCTTGCTTGCACGCACACATACACGTTCTTAATAGCACTGTCCTCCCATTGTTCATCAATTTGCTTGAGCGGGCACCAGTAACGTCTCCATAGTGAGACTTGTTACTGTTTTTGGATTGAATACACCACGTATTCAATTCGTGGTGTATTGAATACACCACGGGGAGCTTGCCAGGCTCGGCCGTGCAGGTGGGATACTCTCGGTAGCTTGCAGGGCTCTCTGAGAGGAACAGAGGAAACAAACCCGGCCCACCACGTGCAAGACAAACGCCCTACCCATTGTGCTATCGCTCCATTATCATCCTTAATAAGGCAGCAAAAATAAATTTTCCAAAAGCATCAACGAACGGGATCAGAACAAAAATAACAGGTGAGGGCGCTTTGTGCTCATGGCCGACTCAGGTTCGATCCCCGGCATCACATGTGGTATCCACAGGAGTGATCCCCAAGCAAAGGGGCAGAATTAAGCCCCGGGCATAGCCACCCCCAAGAGAAGCCAAAGATGGAGGTTATCCTCCTTCGGGTACTCCGGAGGTTCATACTGATGTAGGCAGACAGGGAAGACCCCCTCCCAAGCCAATGGTAAAAGCCGACCTTGCAAAACATAGGAAAAAAGTGGAACTAAGGCCTGATCAGACCCTCACCTAGCTACAGAAACAGGCCCAGAGAAGCTCCTGCAGAAACAAAAGGCCGGGAAAGGGATTTCAAGGAAGACCATCACCACTCCCAAGCCCTCCTTCCCCCGGAACCTCCTTTTACCTAGGTAGAAGCCCACGTGGGGACAGGTTGGAGAAACCCTACGAAGGCCACCTTGAACAAAGGCAGGGCATATGCTGCCCGAGCCCATGTGCTGCTTGCGCCCACGTCCCTCGAGCACGTGTCGCCCGCATCTCCCCTCTTGAGATGGGGACTTTCATACTTCCGGGCAGGGCTCTCTCCGCCCTTGGAGTGTTAGGACCCACTTAGCTGTGGAACTGCCATGCCAGGTTTTGTGGCCTTCAGAGTGACAAGGCTTCTCCCAGGAACAAGAAAAGCACAAAAACCGGATGCTTTTGTCAAGGACTACACCCCCAGAATGTAACTGTTAGGGAGTGGGCTGGACCTCACGAGGCCAAATTAAAAAAAAAGAAAGTATAAGAACCCGCTGAATCTGGTGCTCGAGGCCCTTGCTTGGACCCCAGCTGGCTGGAATAATAAACCTCGCTCTGTGATTTGCATTATCGGCGGTTCTGTCCTCGAGGAGGGATGGTCGACTCGGGACTCACCAGAGAAGCCGGGGCTCTCTCCAGAGCACTTAAACCTCTCTCCCACTTTCTCTTCCTCCTTCCCTGAACTTAAACCTCCCGACAAAACGCTTCCCCTCGCTGCTCGCCTACTCCGGACGTTCTTCTCTGCGACGCGAGACAAGATCCCAGTAAGCCTGGGGCTGGAGCGATAGCACAACGGGTAAGGCGTTTGCCTTGCACGTGGCCTTCCTGGGGTTCGATTCTCAGCATCCCCTAGGGTCCCCCGAGCACCGCCACGAGTGATTCCTGAGTGCAGAGCCAGGAGGAACCCCCTGTGCAATGCCCGTGTGTGAGCCCCAAAAAAGAAAAAGAAAATTACAAGAAAAAAAAATCCCAGTAAGCCTGGGTCCTGGTGGCGGGGCGGACGGGGAGAAGGCGACAGTCCTCCTCCTCCCGACGCACGCGGGGCCCCCCTGCGGCCCGACGCCGCCCACCCCCAACGGGCACCTACCGCCTGGGCCGGGCCGGAGATCGGGGCCGGTTGCGGTGCCGCTCCCGAAGGGCGGGATGGGGCCAAGCCCCCTCTCCGCAAGGCGTTGTCCCAACCCCTCCGCGCCCCGCCACCGTGCCACGGAAGATCCTGTCTCCCCCCACCCCCGTCAGCGAAACTCACCCCCTCCACAAGCCCGAGGCCGCACGAGCCGCGCGGAGACCCCCGCAAGCCGCCATGACTGCGAGCACGTGGCGGCCGCGCCTGCGCCCTAATCACCCCTGTAGTCTCGCGGGACTCTCGCGAGACGGGGAGGGGGCTGATGGGAAATGTAGTCCGGGCGCCGGCCGGAAGGGGAGTTCGGACAGCTCCCGCCCCCAGGGGCGCCTCCTGGCCCGGCGACGCGGGGGCTGGGCCCGCCTGGTAACCGGCTACCGCCGGGGACGGGAGAGAGCTGGGGCGGCGGGACGTCGCGGGCACGTTGGGGAACGAAGATGGGCGCGCGCTTCTGCCCCCCAGATCCCTCCGTCCCCGGGGGCACGTGTTGGCCGTGCGGAAACCTCGCGGGGGGCCTCACTTAGGGGACAACGACGCCCGGCCGGGTTGCGAGCCGGAGAGGCCCGTGCATGTCATGCAGGGCGAACCGGGGGGGCGAGGGGGTCTCTGGGCGCGGAGGGCGGCGGGAGGCGGGCCCCGGGGAGCGGAGGTTCGACGGCCGCGGGCGCCGCTTTTAGCGCCGGGCGGCAGGGGGCGCCCGAAAGCCGCGGCCCGAGCCCGCCCGCCGCTGCGCCCAGACCCCGAAGCGGCTTCAACGCCCCGACCCGGACTCTACCCGGCGCTGCAGGTCCCCCCGGCTGTGGGTGGCTCTATTTCCGAGGAGGGAAAGAAACATCATTAGGTTACGAAACTGATTTTCGAAGTGTTGTTTTTTTCAAGCCGTCACCCTGGTTGCCTGTCCTGAAAGAACAACGGAGCAAAACAAGTAGAGCCGGGGCCAGAATTTACACTTATTTGGAAATTAGTTTAAATATGCGAGACTTAAAAAAAAAACCTTCTCTGAATTAACCTCCCCAGCCCGGTCCTCATCCACCCTTCCCTGAGCGATGATCTCAGGCCTAGGGCCATAGGACTCTTGCTGCATGTATGTTTTCAAGTTCCCACAGTGGGTGAGGTTTGCCTCCCTTAATTGGATCCCAAGCTCCTTGAGACAAGAGCCGGCTCAGCTATTCCTTTTTCCCCTTTCCATTTCCTCCCGGGGCCTGGCTGGTGCACTCCTGCCTCTCAGCTCACATGGTGCCCAGCAAATAACCATTAACTCAGCAACGACTTCCGTCTTGTAAAATTGGCCCTTGGGTTTCTCTCTGCCTGGTCCTTGAAGTCAAATGATCTCTCGATCATTAGAGAGAGAGAGAGAATGGAATCTCTTCTTGCAGACAAGTTCTTCTCACTGCAGACTTGGGAAGGGAATTTTGAAGCTGGCGCTGAGCTGTCCGTGGAGCTGAGCAAAGTCCCTGTGGCAGGCCGAGTTCTGCCAGCTAGCATTTACTTGCCACTGGCGCTGGGGCTGTGTACAGCACCCCGTGCTAGGCGAGCCCACACGGAGAGGTGGCAAGGGGGGCCAGGCCGGGCTGCCACCCGGTAAACTCTCGCCCTGCCATGTCCAACTTAGCTATAAAGAGCCTTTCTGGGGCTGGAGCAATAGGACAGCGGGTAGGGCGTTTGCCTTGCACGTGGCCGACCCGGGTTCGATTCCCAGCATCTCATGTGGTCCCCTGAGCACCGCCAGGAGTAATTCCTGAGTGCATGAGCCAGGAGTAATCCCTGTGCATCGCTGGGTGTGACCCAAAAAGAAAAAAAAAAGAAGAGCCTTGCCTTGGAGTGGGCAGATTTTCTGTGGCCTTGTGGGTCGCTGGGGAATGATAGTGGAGATGGAGTTGCGGTGAGGTGTGCAGGGGTCAGAGAGATAGCCCGGGGGAGGTTCATCCTGGCCTCTTCCTGGTGCCACAAGATCCTGAGTCGGCAGAAGTGATCCCTGAGCGCAAAGCCAGGAGTAAGCCTTGAGCCCTGCCGGGTACCAGCCCCCCCCCACCCCCCGCCAATAAAAAAGTGGGGTGTGATGGGCTCCCTCACTTGCAGCCTCCATCTGCAGGAAGAGTGGCACTGACCACTGACCCTGGGTTCAGCAGAGGTGCTGGAGGGGCAGCCCCACAGGGCACCCACCCCACCCCCTTGCCCAGTGTACGAAGGCGGAGGCAGAGTTTTCCTGACCCCTCCTCCCCAGCCCTTGGGATCCATGGACCTGCTTGGGGTGCAGGGCGTGGCCCATGTGGCGTTGAAACGCAGCGTAGTGAGAGGCCCTGGCCAGTCGGGGCTGCGCACTTCCCTGGGCCTGCCTCTGCCCACTGCGCATGCGTGTAGTGCTGCATGAGGTTTGGGGCTCAGGCACCTCAGGGTGGTGAGTGGCAAGAGTCCCACAAGGCGGCCACGAGGCTACAAGAGACGTGGGGCTGCGGGGGCCCCCGGGAACACGCAGCCATGGGGCTGCTGGTCAGCTGTGTCCAGTGGCCGCCCAAGCACTGCAGGGTTAGGCTTGCCCGTCCGGCTGCCAACCAGACCACCGGGGAGCAAAGGGCGAGGGAGACCCCCAGACCGAGAGGGGTATTCTGCGAGGTGGCCAAAAGTGGCCCGCGGACACCCCCAAAGCAGCTGTCCTGGCCCTACTGGACCTCAGGGAGCTGGACCCAGCCGGCCATCCTGGGCCACTCGCACCCAGCAATACATCTTCTGCCGCTGCCAGAAAGTGTCCAGAAAGCCACTGGCCACGCCGTCTGCCAAGTCTGGGAAAGTTTTCTTTGTTTTTTCCAAACAACAGGCTGGTTTCTGGCTTGGGGGCCCCCCAGCCGGCTGCAACCATCTGGCCCTGGGGAGGCGAGGGGGGCGGAGACTGCCTGCCACAGCGCCTGCCTGCACCCCTCTTTGCATCCAGAGACACATTTCGGGTTGTTTTTTTTTTTTTGAGGGGGCCCTTGGGGGCTAATTCCCAGCTGGTTATTCTGGAGGTCGCTCCGGGACCCGGGACGTGGGGCCAGGGGCTCCATCCCAGGCCTCGTCAACATCTCCCAGACACACTGTCACACTTTAATGTTCCCACGGGGGGACTCGGGGGCAGACGCTGAAGCTGGTCTCAGTGAGTAGGGACCGGGAGGGGCTGAGGAGACAGCTCAGTGGCTGGGGCACATACCCAGGAACACCCAAGGAAGGACCCAGGTCGGATCCTCGGCAGCACCAAGATTAGTTCAGGGGACACCCAAGAATCTCAGAGGAGGGGCTGGAGTGATAGCACAGCGGGGACGGGCGTTTACCTTGCACGCTGCGAACCTGGGTGCGATTCCCAGTATCCCATATGGTCCCTCGAGCACCGTCAGGAGTAATTCCTGAGTGCAGAGCCAGGAGTAGCCCCTGTGCATCGCTGGGTGTGACCCAAAATGCAAAATAAATAATCTCAGAGGAAGCCCCCTCCCTGCCCACAAAAAAAAAAAGAAAAAGAAAACGGAGGGAAGCAATATAGCATGTGAGAATTAGGTTTTTTTTTTGTTTGGGGGTCACACCTGGCGGTGCTCAGACCTTTCTCCTGGCCCTGCTCAGGGATCACCTTGCCCTGTATGGTGCCAGACGTCAAACCCAGCCACATGTGAGGGACGTGCCCTGCCCACGGCGCCATCTCTGACCCCAGCATGGGAGATTTTCTTTTCTTTCTTTCTTTTTTTTGCTTTGCACTGCTTGCCCTGCACGCTACCACCCCCTATTCCAAGTCTCAGCACCACATATGGTCCCCTGAGCACTGCCAGGATTCTCCCCTGAGCACAAAGCCAGGAATAACCCTTGAGCACTGCTGGGTATGGCCCCAGGAACACCCCCCCCCCATAAAATATAAACCCCCAAGAACTGTAGCAGTCAAATGGTGGCCCTGCATGTCGGGGCCTGCCTCCAGCCTCAGCACCCAAGGCCAAAGCCTAAGACTTGACAGGGTTTGTTTGTTTTATTTTGCTGAAGGGGGCATATCTGGGGATGCTAGCTCTGCACTCAGAAGTCACTCCCGATGGTGCTCAGGGGACCAGATGGGGTGCTGGGGATTGAACACAGGTCTGCTGCTTGCAAGGCCAGCGCCCTCCCCACTAACATCTCTCCGGCCCCAAACTTAAAACTTTCCTGAGGTCTGGTTAGCATACAGCCTCCCTCCAGATTATCAAATCAATGAGTCGGCACCGTTTTTCTGGACGCCCTCCCTTGGCTATCCCCCGAACCCTGATCTTTGTCCCACCTCCACCCCCAGTCCCAGTTTGCAGCCAAGAAGCCAAAAACGCAGAAAGTGAGTAATTAGCGAGGGCTTCTTGGAGCTCTGAACCCCCTGGCCCCTCACGACAGCAGGGTCGCTCCCCCAACTGTTGCCCCCCCCACCCCGGCAGACCCTATGCCTGGCCCCACGCCCGCCCATCACACAGGACTAGGCCTGGGGTTGCAGCTGGCAGGTTTGGGAAAGGGTGTGCCCAAGCCTGTCCTCCCTGGGGGGAGGCCCCACCCCAGGCAGTAGACACAGATGACCTGGGCGGTGCCGGGGCCCCTGACCCGTGTTGATGGGACCACACAGTTCCCGAGGCTGCCCTGTGACTGCACTCAATGCTGATGACTGACGCGTTGGGAGATGGGGTAATATTCCACTGACCTCGGCGGTGGCTTTCTGAACATGTGTCCCCTGAGCCCAGGCACCCCTACCGCCCGCCCCTGCTTCCGTGTGGTTCCCGCCCTGAGCTCACACCCTGAGAGTGGGGGGGAGGCAACCACAAGCTTCCCGGCGCCTGGAGGCTGCTGGCCGGGGCTTCTTCTACCCTGTTCTGTGGCTATTGACTCTCATTTCCTTCCCAGACGGTCCTCGTTCCTCGGATGGTTTGGCCTCTTAGTCCCTTGGGGGGTGGGGGGGAAGAATTGCTCAGCAAGTCCTGCCCCAAGGCAGCCTTCTTTCGGGAACTCCCCCCCCAGTGGTACCCCAGCCCCCCACCCCCAGTGCAGAGTCACACTTTGGGAGACACTCTGCAGCCCCAGCCCGTGAGTCAGGGAAGGTCCAGCCTTCTTCCGCTTCGTTTAACTCTTTAAGCCGTTCTTTATTGGTGCGGATTTCACACGCGCCCACCGGAAGCGCTCAGCACCCCGAGACGAGGCGGTGTGAGTGAGCACAGCCCCTGTCAGGATGCGGGGCCTAGTCCTGGGCCCCAGAGCCCCGCCGGGTCTCTTCCAGTCGGTCCCTGTGTCCACGCCTGACCCAGCCAGCACCCGATCTGCTTCCTGTCACTTTGGATTAGCGTGGCCTGGTGGAGAATCGCAGATAAATGGATTCGGGCCGTCGGGACGCTTCTGCATCTGGCTTCTCTCAATTAACCCGTGTGGCGGCTGACATCAGCGGCTCATTTCCTTCTTATTGCCGAATATCATTTCATACCCCAGGAGAGTGGGCGCTCTATGTTAGAATAGTCCAGAACATCCACTCGCAGGTCACTCCTTGGCTGCTTCCTGCGGGGAACTTACATTTCCGAGGTTGAGAACCGGGTGACTGTGGGACTTACCCCACTGGTCCACACCCCGCAAGGCACCAAGCCCTAGGGGCGTCCCTGAGATTGAGCTGTGCAAGTGCCCCGTGGTGCGTCTGGTTGCTCTGATGGTGAATCCGTTTTCTTCCTATGCCGAGCGCTGACCCTGTTTATACTTCTGTGTGGAGTGTCCATTAAGTCGCTTTCTTCTTGTTTTGGGGTGCCCATACCCGGCTGTGCTCAGGGGTCACTCCCTGATCCATGCGTGCGGTGCTGGGGATTGAACCTGGGTACACCGTGTGCCCGGCAAGCACCCAAGATGTAGCTGCTGTCTGCCCCCCGCTCCAGTCCTTCCTCAGATCCCTCCCCTTAGCAGATGCCTACCCCGGCTGCGTCCAGGAGCTGATACAGTCACGGGTCTGTTGGCCCGAAGTTTGTTGTGTTTTTCCTGTTTTGTTTTCTGGGCCTCACCAGGGGGTGTCCAATCGCTACTCCCAGCCCAGTGTTCTGGGCTTGACCAGGGTCCCTATGTGCACAGCCTGCACCCCGGCCCTGCGACCTGGCTCCCTGCTCGCGTGCTCACCTCTGGGCCGGCTGGGAGCGCCAGAGCGCGCCTGTCCCAGGGACCACGGCAGCTTCCTGGCGGCTGCCTGTTGTCAAGCGTCTGTTTTCCTCTGTTTTGCCTGGTTTTCCTGTTGTTTTGGCAGGTCTCCCTAATTCCTGTCTGTGTCAGCCCGGCAGCAGGCCTCCACGGATGTCTGCAGAGCTCGTGCGGGCCGTGCTGGCACCGGCCCTGCCTCTCCCAACAGAGACTCCCAGAGCCCCAGGGGTCAGCGGGCGCACCCTCTGCGTTTCCTAGAAGCTTCTTTTCCCAGGGTGGCTCTTTAGGCCTTGACGTCCTCAGCGCCAGCCCACCTGGGTTCGATACGGGTCTGTTAAATGGGGAAACTGAGGCCCGGAGAAAGAGGGGTCACATGACCAGGCAGGGCTTCTTCATAGCCTGCTGCCAATCCTCCACCGAGCACAGCACCCGTCCCTGCAAGCACTCAGCAAAGAGTGCTTGTGAGGGTTTTCAGGGAAGTTTCCCTGACTGTCAGTTGCTTGGTTCAAATGGCTGCAGCTTGTGAGTGTGTGTGCACGCATCTGTGTGTATACGTGTGTGTGTACCTGTGGGCCTGTGTGCATCTGTTAACTCATGTATCTGTGTGCATCTGTGTGCTCATGCGTCTGTGTGCGTCTGTGTATGTGTGTGTGCGCACCTGTGGGTCTCTGTGCATCTGTGTACTCGTGTGTATCTATGTGTGTCTGTGTACTCATGTGCGTCTATGTGGCTCTGTGTACTCATGTGTCTCTGTGTGTCTGTATACTCATGTGTGTCTGTGTACTCGTGTGTGTCTATGTGCATCTGTGTACTCGTGTGTCTGTGTGTGTCTGTGTACTCATGTGTCTGTTTGCGTCTGTGTACTCGTGTGTGTGTGCATCTGTGTACTTGTGTGTCTGTGTGCATCTGTGTACTCACGTGTGTCTGTGTACCCCTGTGTGTCTACGTGTGTCTGATACTCCTGTGGTCTGTGTGCGTCTGTGTTTCCGGGTGCCAGGGTGAGTTGTTCCTCCTGGCACAAATCCCCTTTGGGTTCCTGTTCTCAGCCCCTCTTGCAGGCACAGTGTCTGCTAGAGGGTGCGTGTAGCCCGCACCAGGGTCTGTGGGCCTCAGCTTCAATCTTGGTTGCCTCTGCAGCCACCTCCGGGGTTCCCAAGGTGAGCATCCCCTTACACACACACACACACACACACACACACATACACACAGGAAGGACTTTTCTCTCTGATCCCCCCAGGATGGCTGTGGTTTCCCATGGGGAGTGTGCCTGGCTCCCCCCGCCCAAGTTGGGCTGCCCAGAGTGGCTGTCAGTGGGGACCAGTGATGTCCCGGGAACAAGAGCTAGGGAGATGGTGTGTGCTCCCTCACAGCCTCGGGGAGCCAGGGCGAGTATACCCGGGAAGGGGAGCCCCTCCAAAGGCAGAGATGGCTCTGGGGCTCTGGGCCTTGCACCTCGCACAGCAGCAGGTCAGTCACACAAGCTCTGGACCAGCCGCGTGGCACCTCGTTAGGCCCTGGACGCCTCTCTGCAGGGTCCTTGAGCTTCACTCACCTCCCGGGGAGGGAGGCACCGGAAGCTGATCTCACATGTGACATGGCTGTGGCCCCGAAGGGCCACATGTGGTCCATATCCACAGCATCATGTTTTAGTTTTGTTTGGTTTTGTTTTGCTTTTTTTGGGGGGGCCATACCCAGTGGTGCTCAAGGATCCCTCCTGGTGGTGCTCAGGGAACCTTCTGGGATGCTGGGAATTGAACCTGGGTCAGCTGTGTGCAAGGCCAGCTCCCTGCCCGCGGTACTCCCTCTCCAGCCCCCCTCCTCAGGGAAAACCACAGCCATCCCGGGAGGCTCAGAGAGGAAAGTCCCCTTCTCAGCTCCAAGCCTGGCGCAGTTTTCCCCGAGACCCCTCCCCCCATACACCATTGGGGGTGCCCCGCTCTGGGCCCTTGGGCCCTTGGGCAGTAGCTGTGGGCCTGTCCCCTCCCGCCACCGCCGCCACCAGCTTCTTAGCTCCCTGGTCAGGTTCCAATCTCTGGGAGAGGCTGGCAGGAGCCAGCACCGGCTGCCCTTGGCCACCCGCCGCCCTCAGCCTCGTCCCTGTCACTCAGCCTCCCGCCAGCAGAGCGATTAGCATTCAGACCGGGAGGAGAGGGATCAGGGCTGCCACCTCCCGTCTCCTCCAGACGCCCCAGATCCCTGCGGGGGAGTGAGCCTGTGGGGGGAGGTCGCCCTCAGGGCAGGGAGGCTGCTGCTGCTACAGCTGTGTGTCCTGAGGTGTGTGTGTGAGGGGGGAGCAGGCCCCGGAGGAAAGGGCTGGGGGACCAAGGGGCCAGCAGCTGTGGGGCCCACCATGTTCCCTTCCTTTGCCACACACACACACACACACACACACACACACACACGCATGCATGTGCACGCACACATACACATGCACACACGTATGCGCATGCATACACACATGTACGCACACACATAGGTGCACGCACACACACATGCACGGACACACGCTCACTGGCCCCCCCTTGAACCCTCTGACCTCCACCCTGCAGATGAGGAAATCAAGGCCCAGATATCCAGCAACGCCAGGGAGAGGAAGTGCCGGCCAGGGCCCCTCCCTGCCTCAGGCCTGCCCTGCTGCCAGCGTCCAGCCTGCTCTCGCACCAGGGAAACAGCAGGCAAGGCTGAGCGGTTTCTCGGCCACAGGCTGCCTCTTGCCAAGGCTTCCCGCGCCCCCCATCCGTGCCAGGCCGGGGGCACCTTGGGCAGCAGGAGCTTGGGGGGCACAAGGAGACAGACGGGAGAGGCTGTGGCAGCCAGGCACACAGCCTCGGGTGAGGGCAGGTGCAAACACAACTGCTCCTGGAGGGGGCGCTCCAGCTGCCAGCCGGCCCCCCACCGCCCTGCAGGCTGCCTCCCTCCCATCCCGCCCTGAAGCCCCCCTCCGCGGCCTACCCCACAGCAGCTAGGCCAGCAGAGCCACGCTGCGGAGGGGCGCGCCGAGACGTGCCTCTGGGCGGCCAGCCAGTGCCCGCTGCAGCGCGGTGACCTTGGCTGGGCTCTGCCGACCCCGGGAAGGCGCGGGAGCTGCAGCGGGTTCGGCGGAAAAGGCCCAGCGCAGAGCTGGCCGCAGCCACAGTAAGGACCACGGCAAAGGGGGAACACGGCCTGCCCTTCAGCCTGGCTCCAGGCAGGCAGGGCAGCGGACAGCAGGGGACAGGTGGCCGCCAGCCCAGCGCCAGCCCTAGCCCTGGCTCCAGAGTGGGTCCCCAACTGCCTCCCTATAAAAGGTGGGGTCCACCTAGGGCACGGCTGGCCCTACACACACACACACACACACACACACACACACACACACAGCCTTCTCCTGCAGCCTGCGGGGCATGGGTGGGGCCCCGAGGAGCTGGGACCTGGGTTCAATGCCGGAGGGATAGAAGCAGAGCAGAAGCCTCCAGAAGAGGAGGAAGAGGAGGAAGCCAAGGGCTGCGGGCCCAGCTGACCACACCAGCTCAGAGCCAGAGCTCACCACATACTACTGCCCGCTGGAACACACACACACACACACACACACACACACACACGCACACACATGCACACACACCCATCCTCGCCCACCCAGGTCTCTCTCTGCCTGCGGCCAGGGCCCTGGGGACAGAGCAGGGAGGACACTCATAGGCACTGGGTGTCCCCCTCCCCGGGCAGCCCAGGGTGACCAAGGCAGGCACCCCCACTGGCCTGGGGGCCTGAGGCCTGAGCCCAGGATGGATAGCTCTCATCTCTCCTGAGGACCTGACAGGGCACAGCCTCCTGTTTCGGGGGCTCTGGGAAGCGGGGGGCCCTGAGTCTCCATGTGGTGGGGCTGGGGGCGGGCGACTCGCTCACCACCCCATGACACTGGGCAAACCGAGCCTCCCTCTGATGCAGGGACCAGGTCCTAGGGACTAAATTCTAGGGTGACCAGGCTGCCCGGCCTTTCGATTCTGGGCCCTTCCAACTCAGCCCCGGGAATGGGAATGTGAGTCAAATCCACACAGGCTGGGCCCGTGTCTACACTGCCTGGACCTCCCCAGGCTCATGGTCATGGGGCCTGGAAGGAGCCTGTGGGAGCAGGAGGGAGACAGCCAGGTCCAGGGCAGTGGGCAGTGAGAAACAGGGTGGGAGGCTTGGCCCATGGAGACCCCCATGGGGGCCTCTGCTGAGATGGAGCCCGGCCAGTCCCCAGCCCGGGCACATCACCCTGACCTCACGGCCACGCGGGCCTGTGGCCCCTCACCCCTCCAGGGCTGAAGCCGAGACCTTGTCCCGTGTCCCACCCCGTGTCCTGAGGCCATGTCCCACCCCGCCAGGACACCCCCACACCCTGCCTCTGAGCCCTGGGCAGCAGCACCCAGAAAGCAGCCCTTGGACCCCCGCACTCCGCCACTTTCCCAATGGTTGGGGCCAGCGGAGGACTCCCTGTCCCTGATGACCCCTTGAGCCAAGGCTGCCCTCCCTGCCTACCCCCTGCCCGCTGCCCTGGGCTGTCCCTGCCCCCCCTACCTGCATCTGAGCTGAGCCGGGTCCTGAGCCAGCGTGCAGGGGTTGACAGTCACGCCGTCCCCGGTCCCTCCTCCCTAAACAAAGTGGCAAGTGGCAATCAGACATTGGCAGGGGGTGAACCCCCTCAGCCCTGCCCGCCTGGGGATGCAGCCCCCACCCACTGGGACAGATGAGAGGCCATCCCTGCCCCCACCCTCCTGGGACCAGCCTCCCAGGGCCCCCACCCCTCTGCAGGCCTCAGAGGCCAGGCCCTGTGTTCTGGAGAACTGGGTCTCTGGGGCTTCTGCCTGACCCGCCAGGCTGGCCTAGCTACCAGTGCCCGCATCTGACTTTCCACTCCCGTGACAGAGTCCCCAAGAGACCGTCCACCGAGCCCTATAGACAAGCACCAAGTTGCCCTCACGTGCCCCGGTCTCTGGACCAGAGGCTGCTCTGACCACCCGAGTCCACCAACTTCCGCTCCGCTGGATGGGAGAGCCGAGAGGACAGCGGTGAGGGCACACGTCTAGAAAGCACCCAACTGGGTTCCAATCCCCTTGCCCAGGGTCCCCAAAGAAGAGCCCCTCCATCGTGGCACTGAAGCCCTGCAGTGCCCGGCACGGAGCCCAGGCCACCTCCAAGCTGAGCCTTGCCCAGTCCAGGGGGCCCAGGGCTTAAAGCAACACAGCCCCGCTCCGATCCCAGCGTTACAGCGAGCCCAGGCTGGCCTGTGGCGGTCTCTTGATCCGTGACCAGCCCAGGTGGCTCATGGTGGAGACTGAGCAGATGGTAACACGTCAGCCAGCCTCCCCAGAGAGAGCAGGAACAGCGAAGAAAAAACCTGTTCCTGCCTGCGTCTGGGGGGTCTCAACACACAGGCTGACCTGGGCCTTTTGGGGGGACCAGGACACAGCAGGAAGAGGGTAGCCACAAGCCCTCTGGCCAGGCACCTTGGTCTCCTCTCCCCTCTCTGGAGGGGGCCTCTAGCAAGTCCCACAGCCCTTAGGAAAGAGACGGAGCACAGACTGGCCACATCCAGCGCCCCTTCCCCGAGAACACGCCCTCCCCCTTGAAGGGGCCCTAGGAACCCCAGCAGGGACCCCCTTCCCCCCTCCAGGGGTCACCAAGAATATTTCCTTTATTGACTCTCCAGTGTTTTGCCGGGCATCTGAGCTCCCTATCCGGAGCGGCCACCGGAGTCCCTCCGCTCCCGCCCCGACTCACACCCGGGGCGCCCTGGGGCTCCGTCGAGGAAAGAGTTAACTCGCGGCCACCCGAGACCGCGGCCTGCCCGCGGCGCGGCGCAGCCAATGGCGCGGCGGGGCGGTGACGTCATGCCCCTCCCGGGCTCGCCATTGGCTGAGCCGGCGAGTCCCGCCCACGGTGCGGGCAGTGCGGCCGCGGGCCGGCGGGCGGGCGGGGGCGCGCACGGGCCGCAGCGGCCAGCGGGGACTCCCGCCCTGGCTCCGGCCCGGCCTCAGGGTCCAGCGCGCCGGCAGGGACACCCCTGACCGCTGCCCGAACAGGCCCCCCACCCCGCCGCCTCCCGGCCCCGCTCTCCCGCCTACCTGCCCGAGCAGGGCCGGGCCGTTTCCGCTCCGCCGCCGCCGGGCACTGCCCCGTCCACCGCGCTGCTGGGCTCTCTGCGGGAGGGAAGGACGGGCTGCAAGAGCCTGGGCCGGGCCCACGGCGCTCCTGCCACCTGCCAGCCCGCCGGGGCAGGGACTTCTGGAGGGCTCGCGGCTCCCCCCGGGGCCCTCCCAGTCTCCCTGGACTCCCCACTTCCAGTCCACTTCGCAGTCCACTCCCGCAGTTTTTCTCCACCCCCCCGCCGCAGGGCCCCGCGGGTTTCTCACGGTTGGACCCGGTTGGAGAAGCGCCGGCGCCAGAGCATGGCCAAGGTGCTGAGCAGCAAGAGCGTGGTGCACATGGCCCCGGCCCATCCCCTCCCGGAGGACCCGCCAGCTCCAGGGGCCACTGCTGCCGGCCTGAGGTGCCAGCCGGCTGGCCTGCACGGGATTAGGTGGCTCAAGCCGCTTAGAGGGGTCAGCTGACCCGACCTTGTGAGGACTGATTAAGGTCCCACCCCAGGGCATGCGGTTGGACCCCTGGCAGGCCAACCAGGTTGTCTCAAAGACCAGGGCCTGGTCCTCAAAGACTTTGGCGAAGCTTGGCACACACGTGGTGTTCACCCACCCGGGGGCGCAGCCTTGCCTGCACCCCGGGGGCTTGACAGCACCAGGGTTAGGGTGGGGGGAATGGAATCCGCCCGCCTGGGGGGGACAAGGGTGTTCAAATGGAAGGCTCACTCCTCACAGTGCTCAGGTAGTGTGTGGGTGCAGGGGATCGAACCCTGGCTGGGCTGTGTGCGTGCAAGGCAAGCGCCCTCCCTGCCACTGAGCAGATCGTGGTGGTGGCAGTGTGCACACCTGGGCAGAGGAGCATCCTTGCACGCACACCTGCATGTCCGCACACAGAAACACCGATCGCGTACAGGCGTGAACTGTGTTCGAGGTGAGAGAACAGAAACACATTAAGAGGTCGCTACTTCTCTCCACAGTGCAGGGCTCCCTCTTGAGCAATCGGGTTTGTTTTGTTCCATGGCCACACCCGGCAGTGCTAAGGGCTGAGCTCTGCTTCCGGAGATCATTCCTGATGGTGCTCAAGGAGTATGTGGGATGCAGGGGATGGAACCGCGGCTGACCTGTGTGCAAGGCAGGCATCCTCCCTGCTGTTGTATCGCTCTGCCGGGTTCTGGAGCAGACCCTGGAGGGGCAGTGCGGCTGGTATCCGCCTTGATGGAGGAGCCAGCAGGGGCCAGGCGGGTCATGGAGATGTGCTGTGCGTAGGGAGAGTCTCGGCCCGCTGGCTCTCCCTGCCGGTCAGGCCCCTGGACTGCCCCAGGTGGCTCAAAGCAATGTTGCAGGAGCCCTGAGTTCAGTCTCTGCAACACAGGGTTCCCCCAAATCATAACAAATAAGCATCAGATTTCTGAAACTGCGACTCTAGGCTTCAGAAGGGGCCCAGAACCCTAAGTGACCAGGGAAGGATGAAGCTGGGCTCTCCATTCTCATCTTTAAGGTGACCACATTGTGTCGCAGTGCCTGGACAGTGGGATAGTATTGGGGTAAAGGGTCACCAGGGGCCTCAGGGAAAACAGGCCCCAGACTTGCCTGGAGGGGTGGGGGTGGAGGAGAGCCTTGGCTCCCCGGGGAGGGGGGGGGACCGGCAGATTACAGTCTGCTTCCCCGCATCCCTGCCCAAGGCTTCCGGCTGGGTTGCACACAACCACCAGGGTCCCCTGCACTCCCAGAAGTCCTCCCAGGTGGGGGCCTGGGCGGCTGGCCGGCTCCAAGGGGCTCATTTCCCGTACCCAGGTACCCAGGGACTCATTTCCCGTACCCCGTGAGGGCATCTAGGGGCAAGGGGTCCTGACCGGAAGAAAGGGGGGTCGCTCACGCCCGACGCGATCCCCACACACCCCCAAGGCCGAGGATGTTGGGAACCCCCCCACCCGCGTGCTCCAGAGCCGGGGAGGCGGGGAGCCAGCCCGAGCTCGGCTGGAACCGCGGCGTCCGCCCCCTCGGGCGGGCGGCCGAGCTGCCAAGGCCGGGGGCGGGCTGGAGTCGGTTCCCGGCGCGCGGAGGGCGCGCACACACACCGAGCCAGCCCACCCCGCCCGTGCGGGCCCGGGGGTCGCCAGCCCCGCCCCCAGGGGGGCCCCCCGCTGCGGCTCGCCGGGGAGGGGGGGACCCCCGGGGCCCGCCGCGCCCCCGCCCCCGCCCCGCCCGGCGGTCCGACTCGGCGGCGTTGGGTGGCCGTGCGGGAGGGGAGGAACGGGCGCCAGGCGCGTCGCCCCCACCCCGCCCAGCCCGCCTCTCGCCGGAATTGGCTCCCAGACACGGGATTCGGGGTTTGGGGCGGATTTTTTTTTGACATTTTTTTTTTCCAGCAGACCACATCCCCGCCCCCCCGCTCGCGGTCCCCCGCCCCCCGCACATATACCCTGCACACACACGCGCGCACACACACAGCCACACACCCGGCGCGCACAGGCAGACACGCGCCGGCCCTCGGCGCGCCCCGGTGCTGCCCGCCCGCCCGCCCGCCCGCCGCGCACGCAGCCGGCCCGCGCCCCGCGCCCCGCGCCCCGCGCCCCGCGCCCCGCGCCCCGCCGCGCTCCGAGCTCCCATGGAGAAAGTGCCGGGCGAGATGGAGATCGAGCGCAGGGAGCGCAGCGAGGAGCTGTCCGAGGCGGAGAGGAAGGCGGTGCAGGCGACGTGGGCCCGGCTCTATGCCAACTGCGAGGACGTGGGGGTGGCCATCCTGGTGAGGTAGGTGTCGCCGGGCCCCGCCGAGGGAGGACGGCGGGAGCTCCGGGCCCCCCCACCCCGCTCGCGCCCCGGGGCCGCCCCCCACGGCTGCGACCCACCGTGGCCGGGCCAGCCCGGTCGCGGGCAGCGTGGGACGCGTTGGGGTGGGCGAGGGGGCGCGGAGCTCCGCAGAAACTCGCAAGCAGACGCGCAAGGAGCTCAGTCTCTCGCTGCTGGGGGGCCTCGGAGCTGGCCCGGCCTGGTGGTCCTCACCAGCGCCCCCCGCCCCCCTGCCAAGGTAGCTGGAGACCCGTTTTACCCTTTCCACGGCGCCACTGGGGGGGCTCCCCATTCCAGAGACGGGGAAACTGAGGCACAGCCAGGCAGGGGGACCGAGGAGCAGCCTCCTCACTAGCTCAGCCCAGTTCCCTCGGCAAAGCATTTCTGGGTTTGGTTTTGTTGTTTTGCAAGATCAAGCAGAGGGCGAGAAGGAGGTGGGGGAGGGCGCAGGGGGCAGCACCCTGGGTCCACCTGGCCCCACCGCCCCTTCCTGCTCAGGCTGGGCCAGTAGGGTGCATCCAGGCAGCAGGTGAGTTGGTTGCAAAAGGTCCCCCGGGAGCCTGGGGTGCAGATCTGCTGACTTGGGGGGGAAAGACGCCCACGGGGGGAGGCTTGGCCAGGAGTCCTGAGCTCAGAGGTCATTCACACACCTGCCCAAGGGTCCCCCAGCCAGGAGGGACTCTGTTGCCCACACACCCACAGAGCGGGGTGCACCCTCGCAGGTTCCGCCTCAAGTCCCGAGCCCCGCCAGCGCGGAGCAGACTGCAGCGAGAGCTGGGCTCACCCCACTCTCCCGGGGGCACCCTGAGCCCCTCTCCTTGGCAGGGAGCAGCTGGCAGGTGCAGGGCAGAGCCGGGCAGCCGGGTCTCCTGAAGCCGGGGTGACCCCCCTGTGGGAAGGACGGCCGAAGAGCGCCCTGTCTCCGCTGTCTTCCTCCCTCCCTCTTCCTCTCTCTCCTGCCTCCCCCCAGCCAGCCGGGACCTGCCCAGCTCCCCATCCAGGTGCCCCGATTCCAACTCAAAAACAGATTTTGGAGGCAAAAGAGCAAGAGGCACTTTGGAGGAGTTGGCGGAGGCTCCCGGGAAGAGGAGGCAGAGCCTCAGCCCCGGCTGCAGCAGGGGGAGCTTGGACGGGATTTTAATCCAGAAGCAGCCGTGGGGAGAAGTGTAGCTTCGCCTGCGGCACCCACATGAGCCAAGCCGTGGCAGGGAGTGGGGGGCTACCCCCAAACTGTGCTGGCCCGGGGACACCCTACCCACGCGTGTTTCCCCCAGGCTCTCCCTGTCACCTCAGAAAAAAAAAAAACGGAGGCAACATTCCAGGACCCTGGGGGTTTTCTGTTCCACCTCTGCTGTTAGTTAGCAAGGGACATGCCAGGAGAGGGGGTCCCCAGGAATGGGGGCACAGGGAAGGCAGGACCCTGGTGCAGTCTCTTTCTCCAGCCGCTTCCTGCTCTCCACTCCTGACTCAGGGGATGCTGAGACTAAGGGACTGGGAGTTCATAACTGAGCCCCTCCCCAGGCTGGGGGGAACAGGGGGCTCTGAGCCCAGCCCTGAGGAAAGGGACTTGCAGGGAGAACCCTGGTCTAGCCCCCCCGGGTGCCACGAGGCCTCTCCATTTTCTCCCCCTCCTGCTGACCAGAGGAAGTGGAGGCTTGTAACTGGGCAACTGGGCGTGGGGGACAGGTCAGCTCCTCGGGGATCCCAAACATTCTTCTGGTATCCTGGGCCCTCAATTTTAGCCTGATCCAAGGACAGACACTGACCCTCTGGCCTCAGCTGGGGCCAGGGAGGCCTCACACACACATACACACACACACACACACACACACACACGCATACTTGCATACACACGCACACATACACGAACACGCACACATACATGGGTGCATACATGCATGTGCACACACACACACACACACACATACTCGCACGCGTGCACACACTCACACATGCGCACACACTCACACACACGCCCTGTTAGCAGCCTGGGAAGTGACAGAGGCGGAGGTGGCTGAGTGTGACCCCCACACCCCCACTGGGTGCGGGAGGAGCAGGGGAACACCGGGACGGGGGGGAGCCCCCCCCCGGGTGTAATTCCAACACCTTCCCCCTCACACGCCCAGACTATTTCAGGCTCTTCTGGGAGCCAAGATGTCCCAGGGGAGCGAGGCTGCTCCCGGCAGAGTGCGGCCCCTGGGGGCTCAGGCAGCATGGGGTGTCCCCCGGCCCCCATAGCGCAGAGGGAGCAGAGGGTGGTCCTGGAGCTCGGCCCAGCACAGTGTCGTGGCCTGGTCCTTCGCAGGAGCCCCCCGGGGGTGCCCGGTGCTACTGCAGGAGCCTCCTGGGACCCCCCACCCCTTGCCTCTGTGTCCTGGCGGCTGTCACGTCGCTCCCAGACCTCGTCGGGAGTGGGGGTTGGAGGCTGAGGGCGGCCACACACGTCCCCCCTCCTTCCTGTGGGCACAGCCCAGCCCGGGGAGCAGAGCAGCAGAAGCCCCAAAGCCTCTGGGGGCAGCGGGCAGGGCCTCCTGACTTCCCTTCAAGCAGGTCCCGTGGCCAAGATGGGGTCCCTCTCAGACCCCCAGGGGCCAGGGCCTGGTCACTTGTCCTCCAGGAGGGTGACCTGGGCCAGCTGTTCCCCTGGCGTTCATCAGTGCACGGAGTGGGGCGCCCTCTCTTTATTGTCTTAACGTATTTGGGGGCCACACCCAGGGTGCTCAGGCCTTAGTCCAGGCTCTGTGCTCAGAGACCACTCCTGACCTGGCTCAGGGCCCCCCGCGGAGTGTGGGGACCGAGCCTAGGGGACCGTAGCAGGCCAGGCACCTCCCTGTGTGCTCTCGCTCCGGCCCCCGACTTCACATCTTCTCTCCTACTTGCGTGCTGGCGCCGTGGTGCAGAGCGAATGGGGGTGGCCGTGGGTGAGGGGAGAGACACTGGCCGGGGGGAAGCTCAGAGTGTTAGTCTGGCAGGGGCTCAGGCTGGTCCCCCCAAGCAGGAAACACTTAGAGTCAGTGTGGGGAGTTCTGGGTGGGGCCAGGGAGGGGCATGAGCCCGCAGCCCCTGAGGAGGCACCGGGGTGGGCAGAACTGGCTCTTGGCTAGAAATGCCCAGATGGGCCCCTGTGCTGTGTCCAGGGCCTCGGTGAAATGGACTGGGCACATGTCGGACCCGCACGCCGTGGCCGGCCCAAGTGTGGGCACAGGAGGTCAGAGGTCAGCTATCACCCTGCAGACTTCCGTGAGCCCTGGCACAGGAGACCAGTGTCTGTCCCTGTGTTGTGAAGCCCAGACAGACAGACAGACAGACAGACAGAGCAGGGTGGGGCAGAATGTCAGTCAAGCCCACAGCGAGCATCAGGGGCAGAGGGAGAATGTCAGGGCCACCGTGGGCACTAGGGATACTGGACACTGGACCAGGGGCAAGGGACCCCAGAGCCCAGGAAAGGCATGCCAGGCTGGCCTCGGGGATGGTGGGCTGCCGAGAAGCGGTGCTGGTGGCCAGTGTGACGATGGACTTTCCACTCTGTGCAGTGGACAGTGGAGGGGGCATTGTGGGCCTGAGCCTGGCTTAGCGGGAGGGAGAAGGCAGGGGTGTGCACAGACAGACAGGAGGGCGGGACAAACTTCCTGGGGTGCGAGCGGGGTGCCGGTCTGTTCAGCTCAGCCAGGAGCAGGCGTGGGGGGCCATCGCTGAGTCTCTCAGTGTGCGCCTCTCAGACTCATCTTTCATCGCTGACCCACGACGGTACTGACCGAGTGCCCACTTCAGAGGAGGAAACTGAGCCTCAGGAAGTGTGCCCATAGCGACCCTGGCCGCACCCTGGACCCCGCTCTGGCCCTGGGGCTGACTGGAGTGGGCCTCAGGGGCTGCGGGCTGGGGCTTCACAGGCCTCCCGTGGCCAGTGGGGTTGGGGGTTTGAGGGGTCCTTGTCAGTGTGGAAAGACTCTGCCTGCAGAATCCCAGGGGTCCCTCCCTAGCCCCCAGGAGTGGCCCCCAAAGGGGCAGGAATGAAGAGACCCCGGCAGGGGCGGGCTCTCGCCCTCCGGCACACCCTTCCTGGCCGCCCACCCCATGCCCACCCGCTCCCCCCGGCCCCATCAGGTTCTTCGTGAACTTCCCGTCGGCCAAGCAGTACTTCAGCCAGTTCAAGCACCTGGAGGAGCCGCTGGAGATGGAGCGCAGCCCGCAGCTGCGGAAGCACGCCTGCCGCGTCATGGGTGCCCTCAACACCGTGCTCGAGAGCCTGCACGACCCCGACAAGGTGGCGTCGGTGCTGACGCTGGTGGGCAGGGCGCACGCCCTGCGGCACAAGGTGGAGCCCGTCTACTTCAAGGCACGTGGCGGGCCGCGTGGGCCGGGACGGGTGGGGGCTGTGGGGAGGGCGGGCCGGGCGGGGCCTGGGCGCTGACCGCCCCCCTCCCCGTCCCCCCAGATCCTCACTGGGGTCATCCTAGAAGTGATCGCCGAGGAGTTCGCCAACGACTTCCCGCCCGAGACGCAGAGAGCGTGGGCCAAGCTGCGTGGCCTCATCTACAGCCACGTGACGGCTGCCTACAAGGAAGTGGGCTGGACGCAGCAGGTCCCCGGCACCACCACGTGAGGAGGGCTGAGGGTGGGCCGGGCCCCTTCGGAACCTCGATCCTGGGGGGATGGAGCCTCGCCCCCTCCTAGGGGACCCCCCCCAACACCGCCCGCTGGGACCTAGGGAATGTTCTGAGTGCCTGAACCCCGAGCCCCCAGCTAACAGGCAGAGAGGAGGGCCAGGCGGGGTCGCCTAGGGGAAGGGGGTGAGGGGCAGCGGCTCAGGCCAGCTCATGCTCTCTCCTCCAAGGCTGCCCCCACAGCGCCTGGGGCCCCGGTTCATCTATACCCGCGCCCTCCACCCCACTCCTCGGTCTTGGCAAGGCCTGACCCTGGAGGCCACATTCCCAGGTCTGGGCTGGGGGGTGGGGGAGGTGGCCGGCTGAGTCCCGGCCAGATGTGGCGGCTGGGAACACTCCGGCCCCCCAGGCCCCCAAGGGGCGGCTGGCTCAGGCCTGAATGGAGGGCGGAGGCGGGAATGGGAAGCCGGGGGTCAGCCAGCGGCCCTGGACAGCCTGTAGGCAGCCACTTTCCCATGGAAAAGGCGCTTCCCTCCTGCCGGAGCAGGGACCCCGGTGGACAGCCACAGGCCTCCAGGAAGGGCCGCCGGCAGACCCCCGCACCGCACCTCTGAGCCACTGCCAGATGTGCACAGCTGGGCCCCAACGGAAGCCACCGGGGACTTTCACAGCCCAGGAGGCTCCCCGGAGACGGTGGCTGGAGGCTGGGGGTCTGCGGGTGCTGGGGCCAGTGGGGGGCCCGGGCTCTCTCCGGGTCAGGCGGGCTTTGTTTACAGCAGGACACGGGACTAACTGCTCAGAAAAGGCGTTTTCCAGGCCTGGGTGGCAGAGCTGGAATCAGAAACCCATAGATGGGGTCCTGCCAGCTCCTGCCCCCGCAGGACCCCCTGGGACAGCTATTGGGCCAAATCCAAGCATTGGGCCACCCCACACACACCCCACTCCCAGATCCTGCCACCCCTGCTGACTCGCTCGTTGGAGAGCGTTTCTAGGGGCCCCGGCCGGAGTCCTGCCTTTGAGTGTCCAGGCCTGACCCCTGGGACAGGGACAGTCATGCTCCTGGCCGGTCTCCTGAAGATGCTGGCTGGGCTGCAGGCCTCAGCGTCCTGTGGGGTCCAGTGGGCTCAGCGGGCCGGACGGTGGGCACGCCCAGAGCAGAGTTCTAGAAGCTTCTCTCCAGCTCCACTTATCAGGCTCTGTGGGCCAGACGCCACTGTTTATTGAAGTGTCTCTGCCGAAGGGCGTGTGTGCATTTTTGTGGGTGGGGGAGTGGGGAGATTGGGGGACCAGAGGGGGTACCCAGACGGCCCAACCCGAGTGCCGTCTGTGAATTTCTGGCAGAGGAGGCCCCATGCGTGCGACGTGGCTCTCTGCCACCCATGGACGTCCCCCTCTCGGCCAGCCCCGCAGCTGCAGCCGGTCCCCGAGACCCTCCCGCGTCCCCACTGCCCCGTGTAACCTGTCCCCTCGTCTCCTGTTTCATCCACAGCCCACCGGCCACGCTGCCTTCTTCAGGCCCGTAGGACGCCCCCTTGCCCCTGCTCCCGGCAGCACCTCGGACAGCAGGACCCTCTGTTTCTGGGTGCCAAGGACAGTGGAGGAGCCCCGACTCGCCGTGGCCGCAGCCCCCGGGAGCCGCCGGGAGGCGGATCTGGAGCCTGGATGCTGACCCCGGCTAGGGCGGGCGGCCGGGCGGGCGGGGTCCCCTCCGTAGCTTTTCTACTCACCGTTAGCGACTTAGCTGAGTAGCCGGCAGGTGCGGGGCGGGTCTGGGGGGTCCCGGAGTGACGAAGCCCCGTCCCCACTGCCCGGCCAGCATGCCGCTGCTGCCAACCCCCTCCGCACCCGCTCAGCTAGCCTGTATCTCGTCTACACCCGTCTAGACGCGCAGAACCTACCACACGCGCTCTGCCTCCACCGCGCTCGGCCCTGGCCTGCAGGACCCAGGGGCCACTCCCGCTTCCAGGCAGAGAGCAGGCTGACTCCGAGGACCCCCGTGAGCACGGGGCCCCCCAGCTCGCCGGCCTGGCACAGCCCTCTCTCTGACCAGTTCCTCACTTCCCGCCCGCCCACATCCAGTCCCAAAGGACTTGGCACCCCGCGCTTCTAGCTCAGAAACCAGAAACCCCCTGCCTTGCCCCCAAACGGGCCAGCACAGATGGGGGTCAGGGCAGACGGGGGCCAGGATGGACAGGGGCGGTGTTCCAGGGTGGATGGGAGGACGAGACAGATGGGGGGGCAATTTGTGGGAGGCAGATGTGTGGGGGGCACGCTCTGCTCCCCAGAGGTCCCTGGGCATCCCCCTCTTGCTCCTGGAGCTTGCAGCAGTGACGGGCAGCGTGCTGGCCGGCTGTGTCTGGGTCAGCGTTGCCGCAGACCCTATGTGTACCCCTGTCCTGTGTACGGCCCCCCAGGACGTGTCATGGCCGTGATCTGCCCAAGTACCCCTGTTCCGGGCCCCTGCAGCCTGTCCCGCTGTAGTTCCCCCATTTACGAGCGACATCCCGCCCCCATTAAACAGACTCATCCTACGGGAGGCTCCGAGCCCTTCCTGCCCGCCCCCCCCCCCCCAGCGTCACAGCCCTCTCACCCTGTCACCCCTGCCTCCGCCTTGGCCGGTCCTGGACCCCTCTGAAGTGGGGCTGGGATAAGGGTGTGGGAGGTGTTTGTGGCTTGTTCTGGAACTCTCCCTGGGGAGAGAAGGGAGGGGGGACTCAGCCCAGGGCACCCCCACGGGGACCCCGAGGACCCCAAGTCTGCCCCTATCACCCTGGGACTCCCCAGCCTTCCCTGCACTCCCACACGCGGCCCACCCGCCCCCGTGGCGCCATCTCTGTCCATCCCCCAAGGGGCCTGGAGGTCCGCACCCCCTTCCCCGGTTTGCACGAGGAGTAGGAAGCCGCCTCTGGCCCGGGAAGGGGGGCTCACGGGAAATGCCTGTCTCCAGGCCGCCAGTGGGGACGCAGGGGGCCCTCCATCCTGCGCTGGGCCTGGCCCAGGCGCTGGACAGAAATCCAAAGAATAAACAAGGCCCAGTCTTAGAAAGCAGGGCCCAGGGCCAGGAACGAGCTATGTGCCGAGACACAAACGTAGCGAAGATGGACGGGGGGGTAAAGGGGGGGTCCCACATGGGTGCCTGGACTGGCCACAAGCTTGTGACAGTCGCCTTGTCCATCCACAGCCATGGCCCACATAAACAGGACCAGCAGGCCGGGCCCGGGGCCAGGAAGTGCAGTGCTCAGAGCCGAGAGCGGGACTGAAGGAGGGAGGGTGGACCGAGAAGGGAGAGAAAGATGAGGTGACAGGGAATAGGGGCCGAGGGGGGCCCCGGGGACCAAGGAGAGGGAGGTTAGAGCAGCCCAGAAGGTGGGAGGTCCCGTGTGGGCACCCTGAGGAGCTGGGGAGCAGCAGGGGGCTCCGAGAGAGGAGACAAGCCCCTTTAGTCTTTGATCCAAGCCTGAGTGGTGAAAGGGCCTCTGAGCAAGTCTGAACCCCCAAACTAGAATCATTTTGGACTGTGTGGTCCTCCCTGCCCTGAACCCCCAAAGGTAGGACGTGAGTAACCAGCCAGTCACCCCAAGTCTGGGCTAGGGATGCGTTGGCGGGAAAGGGGATGGTGGACTGGAGGGAGAATCCCACCCGGGGTCATGGTCAGTGGTAGATTTGGGGCAGGTCCAGAAAGCTAGGGAGGCTGCAGGAGGGATGCAGGGGACCCCCGGGAGGGGCCACGGTGCCTGCCGGGAGGCGGCAGGTGGGGTGCAGGAGGTGCCCAGATAGGGCTGCAATGCCCGGGGTTTTGTTTTGTACTCAGGGACAGCCTTGTAGCGGAGGAGCTAAGCAATTGGGTCAGCCCCCCTGGCGCGCTTGGGGGTGAGCGGCGGGAGCTCGGGGGCGGCGGCGGCGGCCCCGCAGCACCCCCTACTGGTCGAGACGGGAGCTGCACTGGGAGGCCTCCGCCGCGCAGCCCGCAGTTCGCGGGGTGGGGGGCGGGTCCCCGGATCCCTGGGGAGCGAGAGACCCCTGCGTTCTTAGGCCGACTGCGAGGACACCCTCCTGTACTTTGAACCTAGTGGAAACGCCAATAAACGCTCGTTCTTTCCTTGTCTTTTAATTTTCTCGTCTAAAGCCCGGACGCAGCTACAGCCAGGATCCGCACAGACCACGCCTGGACCAGCGAAAACCGTCTGTTAGTTTGTTTGCTTTTTGGGGTCACACCCGGCGGTGCTCAGGGGTTACTCCTGGCTCTGCACTCAGGAGTTACTCCTGGCGGTGCTCAGGGGACCACATGGGATGCTGGGATGCAAACCCAGGTCGACTGTGTGCAAGGCAAACGCCCTACCCGCTGTGCTATCACTCCAGCCCCCAAAAGCCCTGTCTGGAGTTGACATTTTGGTTTCGTGGTTGATCATGGGTCCTTTTAACACACATTTTCAGAAAGCTGCTGGTCATCATCAGTGTCGTGCCTGCAAAGACCTCTCACCTCGTCCGCATTCCCAACCCTTCCCTGGCTGGCGACCACTTCCACAGGGCTTTTGGGAAATCTGTTCTTTGCAGCTGGGGGTGTGCCAGGAAATCAAACCCCGGGACCCCTGAAGTCCTGCCAAGTCTGAGTCCCAGCGCTGAGCAGCACCCTGGTCCCCTCCCCCCAACAGCTGGGATTCAGGGAAACCCCTCCACAGGCATGCTCTGGGCATGGGATCCCGGGGGCCACTGTAGCCCTCCACTGCTCTGTGGCACGGCTTGGCACTGCCCAGGAGCCTTCCCAAAGCGTGGCTGGGGGGAGGGGGGCGGACAAAGAACACTCTTGGACGTCAGGGGACTATACCCCCAGGCCTTTAGGGCAATACCCGGACTAGGCAGCCCGCTGAGGGTGCAATGCATTGGCCCTCTTACGCCACGGAGTTGGAGACCCCATTCCTCAGCGCTGTCCTCACCCCCCTCTCCGCAGCAGAGAAGAACGCGATGTGGCCTTCTCTGCGTGCTGATGGACAGGCCAGCTGGCTCCGGGGGCCACCAGCAGCCTGAGCTATCCAAAGGAGCGACTGCTGCAGTGCTGGCTGGCAGTTACAGATTCCCGGACCAGGATCCAAACCCTCCTCCCAAGGCTTCGGGTCTGGTCGGGCCCTGAGTCTGAGGTTCTCTCTCCCAGGTTCCCGTTAGGGAATCCTGGACCCCCGCGGGGACCACTCGCAGGGCAGCCTCTGATTGGTCTATTTACAGAGCCTCGTCTGCATAGGGCTCCGCCATCCGATTGGTCGTTCGCTCCATCCCTCATTTGCATAGGGCATCGCCAATCAGGCACCCCGCAGGAACTGCCAAGGCCGGGCAGGCGATACTCCCAACTACCTGTTCCAACTACCTGTCCCATGCAGTGCGGGGGTGGGGGGGCAGCTGGACCAGAAGGCTAAGGAGGCTGTGAGACTGCCACCTGTGCAGCGGTACCCAGAAGCCCGCAGGAATCCCCTCTCACCTGGGCGTGGTCTGTGCCAGAGGCTCTGGGTGACCCCCAACCCCCAAGGGCGGCCCCAACCTTCTGAGACCCCACACTCCTCAGGGCTTTCTGGCAAGTTCCAAGCAAGAGTTTCTCTCCAAGACTAACTTGTTCTCCACTCAGGCTCAGCTGCTCCCACTCAGCAGAAACCACCCCGCGGGTCTCCAGCTCTATGGCGAAAGGGGACCGGTTGGTGCAGTGCAGCCCCACAGCCCGTGTCCCCATCTCTGGAAGTGACACTACATTTCAGAGCTGTCCTTTGCCTTTCTTGGGGGCTTGGGGCACAAGTGCCGGTGCTCAGGGCTTCCTCCGGACTCTGTGCTCAGGGATCACTCCTGGAGGGCTCAGGGCACGGTGTGGGATGTAGGGGATCCAATGAAGGTCGACCGCATGCAAGGGGACCGCCCTCCCACTGTACTGATACTCCGCCCTGTCCCTGGCCTTTCCCACCCAAACTGTCCTGGACTCCTGGACAAGCTGCCTCCCTTGCCAGGGTCATCCTCCTACCCCTCCCAGGGAAGGGTCACATGGCACACTTCTTCCTTGGGGGGGTTAAAGGTCACCTGACGCCCTGACAGTGACTTACAAGGAGTGTCTGACTGAGTCCACTCTGTGGCGTCCACTCTGAAGGCAGGATGTCCCCGGGGTGGGGGGTCAGAGGAGGCAACTGGCCTGGGTGAGTCCGTGGGGGTGCAGAATTGGAGTCTGGAGTTATTCCCAGGAAGTGATGGCTCCTCTTAAGTGCTCCACCTCCCCGACATCCTGTCTCTTGGGCCCTTTTTCTGCAGGGGACAGTGAACACAACTCAGGGGAAAGGGTAAGCACCTGGAAAAGGGAGAGGGCCCACTGCACCCAGGGAGGTGAGTCTCGGACCTTATGTGTAAGAATCAGACTCAGGAGGAACCAGTGTGTCAGTGCAGCGAGGAGGGCGCTTGCCTTGCACGCTGCCAACCCAGGTCTGATCTCTGGCATCTCAGATGGTTCCCCAAGCCTGCCAGGAATAAGTCTAAGCACTGTAGGGTGTGCGCCTCCAAAAACAGGAAAGCATCAGACGAAGGCTTGCTCATTAAGCCCTCGCTCTCCCTTGAACTAGTGTGTCTCTTTGCTTGCTTGCTGCTTCAAGCTCCTGTTCTCTCTGGAACATGTATTCCCTCCCTTCAACCCCACTCACATCTCCCTGGGGCTTTTGGGGGAGGGGAGGCCACACCTGGCTGTGCTCAGGCTCACTCCTGGCTTTGCACACAGGGATCACTCCTGGCAGGGCCCCGGGGGACCATATGGGGTGCTGGGGAGCAAACCCAGTGTGCTGTCACTTGGGCTGCTATTCACATCTAAGAAAGTTTTGTTTAGTAGAAACTATCTTGTTTCATTTTGGGGAAAAAAAAAACAATAATCAGAGTAAGTAATGGTACAAAGACTGAAAACTTAAACTGAGCTCCCC